TAGCAGAATGTCGCATGGTGTAAGATAGTTCAGCAGAGTAGAGCAGAGCGGAGTAAAGTATAGCGCCATAAGGCGCCGAAAAATCGCCCCATACCATAGTAACAGAGAATTTGTACACACAAGCAGGCAGGCACAAAAAGAAACATATATGTAGATATGCATTTATCTGTTTTATATCGACCCCAGTAGCTGTATCTAGGGTTTCTTGATCAGGGTGATACTTCTGATTCCTGGCCTGGGGTCTTGGGCTTTGGGTTGGGACCCTAGGGGTAGATGTAAGTCGGGTTATAAGTCCGTTAATTGGGGTTAGAATAAGCTATAAGTTATAAGTATAGTTTGCCTACTTATACTGCGGTAGGACGAAAGTTTGACCTATTCGTTGCTTCGTCGACCACAGGCCCCCATCCCCCCTTTAAAAACCCTAACACGAACAGGACCCACGGGATACTCCTCCGAACATTAAAGTAGCATAATTTCAAAACGGGGTATAAAACAACTCCGCTGGCCAGGCCACGCAATTTGCACTTCGCGGCACTCCGATACTCCGCAAGACGTCTTAAGACAAGAAAGGCACAGTAGGTCAAAATTTTGTCCTCCTGATGTAACCCTACTTGTAACCAGTTATGAATTTTCAGGTAGTAGAGTCGCTACAGCCATCGTCTCAAACAACTGAGTAAAACCGCTTTGGGGAGCCCTTCCAGGGAGCTTTCAAATAACCTGGAAGGGAACCCTTTCAAGAACCCTTGAAAGGGGTAGGGTCCAGGGTTTAGGGAAGAACCCTAAAGCATTGAAGGAGTCTTCTGAAGCAACGGAGACGCTCGGACGGAGTGTCCTCCGAGAGCAGGACACAGCTCAAACATGGTTCTACTTGCTTGTGGGGCACGGCTCAGGATTTGGGGTACGGCTTTCAAAGATACCATACAACACCGAAACGCGAAGAGCTGAAAATAAACTCAAGTTGACCAAATCTGGTCCAGAGCCAGCCTTAAGTCCCTAAACCCTTAACCCTGAACACCTAAACCCTGAACCCTACATGGGAGCTTCCGAAAATAGGGACCCTAATCTAGCACCCTAAATACTAGGATCCTTATTATAAGGACCCCCCAAAACAGGTACCCCGAATATTCGGAAACTCCAAATCCCTAAACCCTTTTGAGACCCCTTGTAGATCCCTGTAAGGTACCCACCCTTGTAGGATTCCTTTAAGGTACCTACCCTTATAGATCCCTTTACGGTACCCTTATAGATTCATTATAGTCATTATAGATCCCTTTAAGGAACCCCCGAATGGAGCTTTCGGAGTTTGGGCTCGGAGGCCTGCCGGCTCAGGACTCCGATTTTGCAGGGGTTTTAAGGCCCTTTTCTCCTACCCGCCCAGCTGAGAAAGGGATCAAGGTTTAGGGGCTTAGGGGTTTAGGGGTTTAGGGGTTCAGGGGTTTAGGGGCTTAGGCTTTTAGGGTTTGGTAGGGTTCAGGGGTTTAGGGGCTTAGGGTTTCCTAAACCCCGAGGCCCCGAACCACAAGCTCTATAGGCCCCCAACCCAAAGCCCTGAACTCTGGCAAAAGGCTTGGGACCCAGCCTCCGGTACCGACCGCAGTGGCCAAGTTCGCCAGGGGCTCGACCGAATCAAGGATGAGCTGCCTCTCAGCGGCTCCGGCGCTCACACTCAGACAATATGTAGTACGATGTCTGAGTCTGAAAGGGTCTAGGGCTACCAAAACCGGCCTTTTTGATTGGGCCCCTTGGCACCGTATCTTCAGCTTCAGAATAAGAGCCCACAAGAAAGTAGGTCACGTTCGTTTAGGTAGGGTTTGGGGTTTCCTTGTTGCAGAGATCGACGGTTCGGACGTTCAAGATCAAGCCTATGAGTATGACACTACCTATAGTCTCCATTGTAGTTCCTCTATTGGTTTTGGTTTAACCAAATATATAATTAGGATCCTATAAGGTAACCCCAAAAAGGAACTACAATGGAGACTATAGGTACTGTACCACTGTACTCTCAGGAGCCTATATCTCTACAGGGCAGGATAGGCTCAGCCCGGAACGCAACATCCCGACGGGCAGCATGCTGTTCAGGACATCGGAAAGTGTTTGGGTTGGGGGGAAAGGGCCAACAACCAACAAACACTGCCATATTGCACACTAACTACCAACAGCCTTGAACTCAACCCCAAACTCCAAACACCACATCTCAACAACCCTCATTCAAGGATCAGAACAAAGCCTAAACCCTGAACGGAGAGAGCCTCGTCTGTGCCCCGCCCAAGTGGAAGGAACTCATCACCAGCACTGCGGCTCCGGAGACGTGCGGCGTGGCCATCGAAGTGCCGCTCAGGGGCGCGTATGACGACCTCACGAGCTGGGAAGATGTAAACCAGGGCCGTGGTAACTACAACAGGGTTCCTTTAGGGGCTCTTGAAAGGGATCTGCAAGGGTTCCCATAACTACTACAAGGGTCACAACAGACAATAAGGATCCAGTGAAGGGACCATAGTAGTTGCAATAGGATTTTGAGGTTAATTATATACTCATTATTCAAGCCTCTGTACTTTGCTATTTCAGTGGGCTTAGGGTTGATGGGAATACAAGTAGCTGTGCCGATGATTATGCTAATGAGTATGAAGCGAAAGTCTGCTCTGCCAAGAGTTTTGAGTCGACCAGCTTCTCCTTGGAATCAAACGGCTCGCTAGTGTCAGCACCTGCATCCAGTCCGTCACCCGCCATGCTGGTTGTAAGCTTCCCCTGCAAGCCCCGCATAGCATCAAACATCCACGGACAAAGCCCAACAAAAAGAACTGAGACGGACAAAGCCGAGCCCAGGGCCTTGTTGCGGATCGATAGTTCTCTTGTAAACAGACAGCTTTAAAGTTGAACACCGCCACGAAGATTCGGGATAAAAATTGTAATCCAATCCTGTTTTGTCGCTGAGGGCTCCACCCAATCATAGTGCTGTAAATGTCCGAGCCGGGCGCAGCTAGGTGCACCTCCCCAGCACTTGTGGCATTTAGCTAAGGTACATAACCCTAAGCCCTGAACCCCAAAAACCTAAAACATGAACCCAGAGTTTCTGGATAGCTAAAGCTCCGAGGACCTTGGGGTTTAGAAGCTTCGGTTTTGGGGGGCTGACACATCGTATGTGCAGGCCTCGGCAACAGAGTGGCACGATCTTGCCATTTCGAGTCTCAGGGTGTATTCAGGCTGTCAGGTACCCTAAACCCTAAAATCGTAGAACCCTAGCACCCTAAACCATAAAATCCTAACACCCTAAACTATATAGGGCTAGTTTTCAAGGTACGTGGGGATCATGGTCCCGAAGAAATGCGACGGCCAGTAGGTTCTGCTTTGGCTCTCAACTAAAGCGGTCAGTGATTCTAGGCGATGGAGAGGCGGGCAGGCAGGCGGGAGCGCGAGGACACCAGGGGGTGGGACTTTTGCACTTCCAGAAAAACTAATTCCTAGACAAGGAGCAAACTTCAACCGTTCCCCACTGAACCCTAAACCCTGCACCCTCAACCCGAACTTGGAGGGACCCCGGCTCACTCGGCACTTCTCGGGGGGCCCTGTGGGAATAACTCACGTAAGATAAATAATGTACAAACAGGAACATGTATATGTACGTGAAAATAACAATAGAGAAAGCAGAAAGAATAGGAATAGAAATATCTTAGCACCCTATATAGTCGGATCCTTCTTATAAGGAACCCCCCCCAAAAAAAAAAAAAAACACCCCGAATTTTCGGAAACCCCCATTGAGGCCCCAGCTTACTTGGAGCTGGGTTTCGTGAAGGCTCTGTTTAAGGGCACCTTTTAAGGTTTTTTTTTTTTTTTTTCGCTGGCCCTTTTCCGACTGCATTACCAGAGGGAATACCTTACCAGGTGGAGCCTCTGTTGGGGTCTCAGTGTGGACACAGAAATTATGACTACTTTTAAGGTTTAGGGTTTAGGGCTCCTTTTAAGGGCTCCGTGAAGGTATCCTTTCGGGTTTAGGGTTTAGGGATCCTTTTAAGGGCTACTTGTCGGGTATCATGGGGAACTGAAGGTTAACCTTTTTGGTTATATAGGGATTATAGGGACTATACTACCCAAAAATCAATAAAGCTCACCTACTCTACTACTAGGTTAAACGGGATCTACTATAATCGTCCTACAACACTCCGAAGCCCTGTTCACAACAGGGATTCGGAAGGTATAAGGAGGAATCTTACGGTTACGGAGGAATCTTACGGTTACGTAAGGCTTAGGGGACTTAGTAGGTCGGTTATAAGTAGGGTTATAAAATTGAAGGGTACGTACGTAGGGTTTTTGGGAATACCGTAGTAAATTATTGCAAGGAGCGGATATTATGGCTGCATTCAGAAGGCCTAAGAACAAGATTCAGAGTTTGATGGCGGCAGCTCTTAGGTTGCCTCTTTTGCTTCCAAGTTATTTGGTCACGTCTGGATAACAGATGAGCCGCAAGTGCACTCTTTCTGGGACATTCCACAGCTTCCATACTCATGTCTCATGTACTGACGACCGCTACACATGACCAGATTGCACGGAGTCCCGAATTTGGAGGGGACTTGCTTGGCATCACCATCCTGAGGATGGATATGGGATTCATCCACTAGGACATCAACCCCACGAAGATGGGAGCAACCCCCCATCAGGGCTTTATCCCGAAAATCTCGCGTTTGCGAGGTCTTAGGGGCGATGCGACATTTACGTAGGGGCCTTTCATGGCATACATATGACAAGGAACACCGAAATAGTATAGGTAACTATTTTGGCCCCTACATTACCATCCGGGTCGCCGTAACAATGCTTTCAGGCCAAGTCCCAAAAGGAAGTTGCACAGTGCGATAAGCAGTGTGCAGCATCCAAAGCCCACTGCTCGATACGTGGCATTAGCAGTGTCGAAAACGAGTACGTCGGTAAATCGAGTGATGCCATAAGATACGACCAATGCGAAAATTGGGATAGCCACTGCTCCCAACACCGATGCATTCTTCAGAAGCTCAAGGCAAGTACTTCTTGGTCTCTGCCGCCCAAGCCGGAGCAAAAGTATCAAGAGATCCTTCGTCGCCGGGACGAAGAGCAACCAAATCACCAAACCTTCGAGCAGCAAAGCAATTGCCTGGCTTGTAGTTTTGGGGCTCTGAAAAGCACTTCTGAATAGGTACCTCTATAGGAACCATAAGGGAAATTTAATTACATTCTCTGCAGAGCACTCGGACCCTTTTTCATTTCATGGGCGAGGCCCATAGTGCATTGGAATCCTCGACTCGAGGTCTGCCTCTGATCGGATCGGCATCTGCCGATATCTCAGGGACGAACCCGTCCAACGTATCCCACCGATCTCCCGCAGAATCCCGCTCACCGGGAACTCGAAGGGTAAGACTCGTCCTCTGTACAATGTACACAGTACCTCGTACGACTCGACGTAACTCCCGGCATACTATGCCTCTCCTCAACTAGGGAGCTCTCCGAAGAGTACACCGGGGAACCCGCCCCTCTGGTGCAGATAATTTCTAGGGAGGGCTGAGCCCTGTATTTACGGAGGGTAGGGTGGGATGAAAAAGGACACTCCTGCGACTCAGGTGCTCCAGTGTTCTGTTGGCTATTTTGGCTTGAGAGGAAACGGCGGCGGATGCACATGTATGCTCAAGCGACAACATGTGCAGCACAATCCAAAATGCACTCAGATAATGATTTCAACTCACCAAGCCTGCCCGAAGCACTAAGTTGGACAACATTCTCTGCAGAGCACTCGGACCCTTTTTCATTTCATGGGCGAGGCCCATAGTGCATTGGAATCCTCGACTCGAGGTCTGCCTCTGATCGGATCGGCATCTGCCGATATCTCAGGGACGAACCCGTCCAACGTATCCCAAAGCACTACACCCAATGCACTATCATCCCGCCAGAAAGGCGAGGACAAGCGACTTGACAGAGAAAGGCAGCTGCCAGAGGATGCAAGGGATGTCGCTGGTGTACGCCGAGAATCCTCGTCTTCGGTGCCATGGGTCCCTGTGGCCTTCACGAGAAATGGCATCGGCCCAGTTGGATTTTGATGGGACCCACTCGAACCAAATGTTCGTTTTCAAATGGAACAGCAGCAGATGCACGCTATGTGCAATGGTGTCCAATTCCTTGGAATCACTGCGCCCTCTGACCAATGCCATGAGCGACGCCACATTATCCACAAACCATACGCCGGTGGTATTGCGGAAGAAGGCAGCGAAGCACAGTAAACCTTGGAAAACCATCAGCAACTCAAGCTGTGCGATTTTGGTTTCGCAATTGTCCCAGAGATCGAACACCTCGTCGCTGATGCGGGGTACAGTACCAACTCGTACAACCTGGGGCGAAACGACTAAGAGTCCTCCTGAGCCAACCCTGTAACCGTCCTGGGCTGCGTCGCTCGCAGCGATGATCCGGCTACCCCGGCCAGGAAACACGGGAACGACTCTGCTGGGCTTCATGGCTATGATGGCCTCGATAATGTCGAAAGACCGGAGGTGAGGGAAGACTCAGTCTTGCAGTACTGTCGCTCCTTGATGGGGTTCAAACCTGCCCTGGCAACACGGCCAAACGCGCCGTAATCAAGGAATCCCAAACACCCGAAAAGCTTCGCTGCTGTGCCAGAGCGCAGGACATTGGCGTTGCGCGCTGAGGAGATGATGTCGGAGATTTTATCCACGAGCCGCTGGCGCACCCAAACTGTAATGGTGCCGGAACGCTGGATTTCAGAAAGATCATGGAGGAGGCCGAGGAAATCTCCGCTTGCCTGGGGAGTCTGGCGCTTAGCTTCAGCGAAAGGGTAGCCGAAAAGACGGAACATTTCCTCCACCAGTTCTTGACTGCGGGGGGCCAGCGATGCGAAATCCTGGCACGTGGCGTCGTCGAAGTAGCAGGAAATAAGAAGAAACAGCAGTCGCCGTGCCACCGTTTGAAGGAAGAACGGGAGGCGATTGAAAGCAGAGACGGCCAATGGAAGGCCGAACAACATGCCCAGGTATCTGCGGAACCTGGGTTGATTGCGATGAGGATCGAAGAAAGCAACTATGCAGGCCCAAGTGTGGGCGGGAATCATCGCGATCTTGCGGTATGCATAAGGCAGGTCTTCACCAAAGGTGGCGAGCTTAAACAAGAAGGACTCGAGGTCAACTCCTCGTGCCGCCAACTCCTTGGCCAATGCCTGGACATGAAAGCATGGTTGCAATGCACTGCAGAACTGCAACCGATTGCCGTCAGAACTGAACTCACTTTGCTTACCTTGCTGCGCATCGTCGATACATCTCTTCTTGCCAGACGACTGCGTAATGACGAAACGGCGGATAAGGCGAAAGGGCCGGTGGAAGCCCTGGAGCTCCTCCCAGCCCATGCTGGGCCGACAGAACCCGAGGGACTCGTCCTCGTCTCCGGCTGCACACGCCACCGCGGCGTCGGTCCAGGTTTGAGGTGGTTGAGCATCTCGAGGGCGTCAACTCGCCCGTCCGCCAGGCAGTCCTCAAGTGTGACCTGGCTTGTAGGGCGCGACTGCCAGATGCCACATGGGTCGACTCACAGCCAGAAATCCACCCATCAGACCTTGGCAAAAGGTAGTATCAGGCCAAGCTAGGGCCACCGTGAGTACCGCGAACAACGCGAGGTGAACTTCAGGATTGACCTGCCGAACCTCTGGGTGTTGGAGCTTGCGCGCTTGTGTTGTCACGTCCTGAAGCCTTCGCGCCAACTCGCGAAGAAAATCCATGGAATCTTCTCTGTCAGCCTGAATCCTGTCGACACCGGCAGCCATCCGGTAAGCCGCGAAGGAGATGTCAGGTTCGACGACCGTGTCCCAATCCAGGGGGCATCCTTCGGCCTGACAGCGCAATGCTGCCTCGAAGTGTTCGTCGGGAGACATCCCGAAAGGAATGACAGGCGGTAGCGCGGATGCTTTGTTGACGGCAGTTGACTGCGTCGCTGAGCTGGCTCGCTGTGCCATTGTGCACGCAACTCCGTGCAACCCGGGACCCAGAGGCCCGTGTGGAGACCGTCCGTTCTCCTGACGCCAGGCGGGATATGCCTTGAGCAACGGGGAATTGATGAGGTCTGCCAGGTAGGGCCAACGCAATTTCGGGCCCAGTGGTCCCAGTAGGACATTCTGAGCAGCAGATGCAATGGATGCCTGAGATATGGGGTAGCCAACGGATGCCGGGACAGGCATCCCTGCTGCCACTGCAAAGCGAAATTTGCGGGCTTTCCGAACATGCTGATTGGGTCGAGTAGCACCCGGGGGCATAGCAAACGTAGCTATCAAGACATCCCCGTGGCATGTGTCCCACAAGGCACAGTCGCACGCCAGGCGTTTTCCCGCCAGCTCATGCACACGGTGTAACAACCCTGACTCAGGCAGCCAACCCGCATAGGAATACACCGTTTGCTCTGGGGTACCGTCTCTCCCAGTGTGGAAGGGGTTCTCCCAACATGTTGTTGGTTGCCTGTGGGAGAAATGGCTGTGGCCGATGTACACAACATCCGGAGGGAGAGGGGTTTGGGGCTGCTGAATGTCCTTGATGCACACTCTTGTGGGCGTGTTATCGCAAGAGGGGAGGCCCACAAACGCTGCAACTCGGTGGAGCAATTCATCCCTGAGGGCCCAAGCTGGTACCTCGAGCAACCCCCGCCAGTCCCCAGTGGTATGCACAAATGGAAGGCGCTGGATGCGATACACCGCGAACCCGCGATCAATGGCCCACTGTGATGCTGCAGCCACCAACGTGAAACACAGGCTGGGGGTGTACTCAGCTTCTTCCAAACTGGGGAATTGGTGGGGACTGCCTACAGGAGCACGTGACCACTCGTCTTCTGCATGCAAATGCCCACACGTGTATGCTGGCATCTGAGACAGATTAGGGATGCAGTGCCGGATTCGCTGGAACTTACGCCTAGCAGCCATGAACACACATGCATGGTACTCAAAGTCACACCAATGACCAGTCCGACACATGGCCTCTTCACATGGGTCTACCCAGTGCAAGCTCCGACCGGGGTTCTCCCGGAATGCACCTCGACCTCGCTGCTGGAGAACCTGCTGGGTGGCGAGCAAGAAATCGGAGCAAGTGTTGTCACGTTCCACTCTAGCTGCATCCCTAGCGGTAAGGTTTGGGAGACCCCGTGGCTGGTCCTGGGATCTAAGAGGTTTGGGAGCCAGCTTACAACCAGGAATGGGTACCTCGCGAATGCGGGACTTAGTGGAGCAGTCGATCGCCGCTGATGACAAATGACAGGAGGGCAATGCTGACCCGATGGCATGCTGCACAACTGCAGATGTCACATCAAACAACGGATCAATCTGCAAGTCTACTGGCTGCAAAACTCTCCACCCCGCAAGTGCAAACGCATGACTGAGAGGGCACCGGGGCCCCGACAGCAGATCTAAAAAGACTGGCGCCTGGCACGGGGTATCACAAACGCACTCAGTGGATTCCCAGATTGATTGCAACTCGGCATAAAACCGTGAAAAAAATGCGTGCCCTGCAACTCAGGACAATGCACTTCAGAACACTCAGCGAACGCGCTGTTTTCTGCAAAGCCGGGCGACTCCGGCTCTCAGGCACGGCTGAGGAACCTGCACCTGTTGCCCGGGTGGTCTGGCGATCCGCAGACACGGCCGGAGCGGAATATGACCGCGCAGCGGTGCTTGCCGCGTGGGCAATCACCCCCATTGCGACACTTCCCGGATTGGAAGTCTTGGCACAGTTTTGTGCCGTCGCGCAGCGTTGCTGCAAACTCAGTCTTCGATGGCTGTGACGACTGAGAGGGCTGCTGCAACCTGAACGCTCACGCTTAGCAGGCGGAGTAGGAGGCACACTCGGCTCCCGGGGCAACGCCGGGGCCGTCCAGTGACTGTCACGCTCTCTCATGATCGTGAGGATAACAGTCCCCAGAGAGCTGGTGCCCATAGCGAAGCGCTGCGCCCACTCGCCGCGCTCCGCTCGGTCAAGGTTCTCCATGTAGGAAAGGCGACTCCCTTCCCCCAGATCACCCACCAGCTTCTCGCACCTGTGCCAGTACTGGAGCAACACGCTCAGAGGCACCTGCACGAACTCCGTGCTGCGCTCGGCCGTCTCGGTCCCTGCCGGGGCTGGCTCAATGGGCGAAGCACCTGCGATGGCAAGGGAGTACATGTAGAGGCGGAGCTGGATGAGGTAGGAGTGCCACCCATGACCGACCGAGGCGTCGTCCTCATCCCCTTTCTCGGTCAGGTAGAGGGACTCTCCCACCTTGCGCTTGCGTGCTGACCCCGAGGTTCGCTGATTCATCACGGACCTCACATCCCAAACGTTCACGACATCCAGCGTCCTTTTGGTGATAGCGCGGTAGGCCTTCGTCACCCATTTGTCGGAAGGGGTAGCTTCAGGGGGGGGCATAACAACATGGTACCTCTTCCAGAACGCCTCGCGGATGTTGGAGAGCTGAGGGGACGGCAACACGTCCTCCTCCTCCAGACTCACGCTCACGTGTGTGCCCTTATCTTCCCTCTGCCGCTCAGCTTGGCAAACTGCATTCCAAGCCTGGCGGAGCCGTGCACGCTGCAGAGGTTTATTTGTAAGGGCACCCTCGACCGGCGTGAAGAACGATGCCAGGAGCTCTTCGTCGGTGTTCACAAAGTAGCGAAACTCCGACAGCGATGTGACTCCCAGCTTCAGGATCTGCTCTTTGATCTGGTCCTCCAGCTTGAACTTCTGGGCCAGCTCCTCGAAAATCTGTTCCTTAGTAGCCATGGCGCAAAAGGTAAGCGTCTAGGGGGACTACGGCACCTGCTACACAGAAACGGCTACGGCAATTGCGAGTAAAACCTCCCTCGCACTCTCCACTCTGTAGCATACAGCTCGGAGTGACTTTTCCCTGGTGCTCCGACCGGTTGCTTATACTGCCTTCACACTGAAATCTACCACTCGCGCAACAGCTGGGTCAACACCCGAGCAACAGCGTGGGCCTCCACAACTCCGGGGGCCCGGTCGGGATGAAACACCAGCAGCAACTGCTGGAAGAACCTGCGGCGACTCTCAGGGGTAGTGTGAAGGGCCATCATGTAGAAGGAGAGCAGCAGGATTTTCGTGTACGGGGACTCGAGCGGGTCATCCAGGGCTTGCTGCAAAGCTTGAGGGATGACTGGTGGCACGGTAACTCGAAAAGTGTGCGTACGGGGCTGCGGAGCTGAGCGCGGTCTCGCACGCCTACCATATCCCTGGTTGGTCTGCTCGTGGCCCATGAGGTCACGACACCGTCCGCAGCAATAAAGGTGACCTCCGTACGCCAAGCGATTGCATCCCTGTGTTCCACACTGTGCCATGGTGTGCTAGAGGGGAGGTCCGCTGAGCTGAAGCAAAACTGAAAAGCATCAACTTGAACATGCACTCAAGAAGCACTAAGCAACGCGCAAAGGGCTTCCTTTTTGACGCGAAGATACCTGATCGAATCAGGGAGGCTCAGGGCCTAGGTTACAAGAGGGCCTGCACTTTGGCAGGTAGCATAGTTGTACACACCCGGCACCACGGGCGTCCCCAGCCAATGGCCTCAAGCGCATCGCTGCACACCCAAGGTGTACCGCGGAAAAAGGAGGCCACATTCGATCGTGCTTGCTTCCAACAGCAAGCGGGCTGGAGGCGGTCTGGCGAGCAACCCTCAGCCACCGCGTGAATGGAAGCTCCGCGCTGCCTACCACACGCAAACTGCAACGGCAGCTTCACTGTGGCTTGCGGGGCAGCCCTGGAGTCGGTGGCGGCACGAAGCCACTTCCCAACGTGGGCGGTGCGCTTAAGAACTCCCTCGGGCTCCACTGCCCGGAGGGTACGGATGTGCCCGATTGCATCATCCCAAGAGCACCGGCGCATAAAGCCACAGATCATCCCTGCAACACAGGGTGCTCGGTGGACTCCCGCCATGCAGTGGACGTAGATGGACTCCCCGTTACGCAGGGTGTTGAGGATGCATGGCTTGATTTGCCCCCAATCATCATTGCGAGACGGCTGGTGGGTAATAACCAGGTTCCTGAGCAACACTCGGGGCGGCACATACCCTCCTTTATCTCGCAGCGGCTCTCGAAAACAAGAGATAACGAGGCCGACGTTGAAACGCGTGAACAGCTGGCTGTCACGTTCATGAGGGAGCCCACCGAGGATCAACACAGGCGACTCCTGTTCCGCGATAAAGCGGGCCACCACCGTAGGCGGCTCAGGCCGGTCCCCGTGGCCGGGACGAGCCCAGCGCTCTCGGCCCAGCCGGTCGAACAGCTCCTCAGCTGTCTCCACTCTTCTGGGAGGGGCATCCGAAGAGGAGGAAGGTTCGGATACACGAAGGGCCGGCTCAACTGCCTCAACCCGTGGACGCTTGGCCGGAGCTCCACTGCTCGATGATGGCTTGGCCTTAGGCATCTTCTTCGTCATGATCTTGGGAGCGGGAGCCGGCAACTCCGGCTGGGCCAAAGGGAGACTCACAGCTGGTGCAGCTGGCTCCTCGTGAGGCGATGGCCCATAGCCAGGCGACTCTGGCTGAGGTGGCGTACAGGGCTGCCCGGAAAGCCCCGCTCGAGGCTTCCTCGCCTTCTTCCTCGCGACAGGCAACTCCTGAAGCGGCTCAGAAGCCGCGACACGGCGCTGGTGACGAAGAATAAGGGCTGCAACCTGAGAACGCACCCTGATGCCCTGCTCCGAACGCAGCCTGTGCGGCCCAACCCAGGCATACACTGTGTCCTGGCCTTCCTTAGGAAGGGCAGCTGCTGCTTCCTGGGCTCTGGCCACCGAAGCGGTGAGGATCTCGGTGTCGATGGAGGACCATGTGTGCGCCGCCTGGTCCAAGATCAGCTCCTTTAAAGAAAACCTCAAAACATGCTTGATCTGCTGGGCCTGCCTCTGCTTGCCTCGGTGATAGCGCCAAGGCGTGACATTGCATCCTTTGGACGTAGTGTCCAGCCAATTGCCCATTGCACAGACCGCGGAGGTTTCGAACCCAGCCAGGAAAGCGAGGGTGACAGGAAGCTCCCGCCAGCTCTTAGAAGAGATCTTGTCGGCGTCCCCCTCCTCAAGAAGCGGAGCCATCGCCAGTGACACCATGCTCCGGATAGTGGCTGGTGGGATCTCGTAGCCATTGGTAACATTAAACCCCACACATTCAATATCAGCGGGAGCCAGCCGCTTGGAGAGCGCCTCCACGAAGTAGCCGCCAAAGTCCAGGTCAGAGATCACACTGAACCTGGGGCAGCTCCAGAGGAATCCCGCACGCAGGTGACGCTGCTTCCCGCGAAGACACTCCCAGTACATTGTATGGGAGTCCATGCACAGCAGTCTGCTCCTCTGCACGTGAATCAATCTCACGCATCCCAGGGCTTGACACCATGTGGCATAATATGCCAAAAAGTCTTCGTGGCGATTCTCGTAAGCCTGCTGCAGCGAAGCCTCCAGCTTAACCAACATCACGGGCTCGGCAGCTGGAGCTTGCTTGGCTCCGTGCCCAACGCCACCTGCACTGGCCTTGCGCATGCTGCTGGCCAAGCCCAGGTCAACTCCCAGGTGAAGCCTCTTAGTCATGAAAAAGAGAGCCGGCAACACCCTCGACTGGGCACCGGAATTCATGACAAAAGACGCCGCAGCTATGGCGGTGAGGCTGTCCACGGGGAGGTCGTGCTCATCGCAGAACTGCTTGAGCTCTGTCCAGGTGCGACACACTACTCTCCGTGCCCCGCAACACGGGAAGCAGAACCTGGTTCACGATCCCATCAACGTTCTGCCCCTGCAGCTGGCTCGCATACTTGCTCCCGGAGATAAGGATGTCGCGGAGCACCGGCTTGAATTGCTCGTTGGACTCCAGGAGCGGTGCTGCACTAGGTCGGCCAGGCGCAACTCGCTTGACACGGGGCAAGGCGGATGAAGGCGCCACAGCCGACGGCGCAACAGCCGTAGAGGCCCTGGGTCCCTCAACTGGGACAGTAGGAAGGGCATCCTTAGCCTGCTTGGCATAAAGATCGCGAACCTTAACTGCCAGCCCTCCCCGGCATTCCTGGGAGGCCACTTCCCCGGCTGCTGCCACCTCCGGACCAGCAGCTTCAAGGGCCTCTGCCCTGTTCATGAAAAAGAACGCGAGCTCCTCTCGAGTCTCGATACCGTTCACAGCCATGAACACTTCCATTCTGCAACACAGAATGAAAAAGGACACTCCTGCGACTCAGGTGCTCCAGTGTTCTGTTGGCTATTTTGGCTTGAGAGGAAACGGCGGCGGATGCACATGTATGCTCAAGCGACAACATGTGCAGCACAATCCAAAATGCACTCAGATAATGAAATCAACTCACCAAGCCTGCCCGAAGCACTAAGTTGGACAAACACTTTGCCAAATTGCCACCTAGCTGCAGGATGATGCCACAGCGGATCAAACTTATCGTCGACTTGAGTCCAGCTTGCAGAGACATCCATGAAAGCCAGAATGATGATGGAGAAGTCACCCCCAAGGCCCATGGAGTACTGAATACCTTCTCGGTGAGATCACGGTTCAAAATGCGCAGGACCTCGGTGCGCACCGTGTCCTCAAAATTTGATTCGCTACCAAACCAAATATTCAAGCACTCTTTCACGATCTTACGATCACAGAGCATAGGTTCACCCGAGGGAGTCAAATGGTTGAAGTCGCAGCATGTACTCCTCGTAGAATCAACGGAAATCGACGACAACTGCAGCTTCATGGTGTCCAAATCTCGAAAGTATCTTCGGATGGTGCTGGCCGTCGGGAATGCAGCGACAAACGCCGAAAACGCAATGGTCGCCAGTAGTGTGACAACCGTTCTTTCGTCTTCGACAGGTACTGTTGCGATTGACGTTGCGATGGCACCAAAAGTAAGGAAGACTGAGATGGAAAGAGGTCCCATGAAGATGGGCCTGACGATAAGGTGTTGCTGTTGTGTCTTCTTGCTCTTCAGGAAGGCAGCAAGCTCAAACAAGCACCACCTAAGTTGGCCCTTTAAAGCCCTCTCGGAATAACACACACACACACACACACACACGCACACCCTAAATCCCGAACCCTAAACCAGAAACCGACACGTGGTTCAAACCCTGTTCGGCTTTCAGCAGCGAAGATAGAAAGTCTCCCAATGACACACCTCGCCGCAACCTCTCTGTCCACGTTGGATCCCAGAGAATGAGCATTCCTCGGCTCCCCGGATTCCCAGGCGAGTTTAAGTAGCCAAGAAGCATAAAGGCACCCCTAAACCCCAAACCCTGTAAGCCCAGAAAGGCTGCTCACACTTTCTAAAAGACTACACCCTGAACTCTAACTCTGTTGAGCTTCTGTCGGAGTTTTTCAAAAGCCCAGCCAGGCTAAGGATGGCATCCGTCTTCAAGCCAGGATCGCTTTGGCTGATACAAATACCTCGAGGTTTCGGGCCTTTCGGGCTTAGGGCAGCTGACTAAAGGTCAGGGGTTGAGGCTTCGTAGTATTCAAGGCTATGGCTTACTGTAGTTTATGGTTGGGCTATGTAGATATACACCCGAAAAGGTGAAAGGCTAGCTACTTAGCTTCTAAGACACGATCAAGGAAGACCCCAGTCTGGGGTCGCCAGCAAATCATGACCAGACTGGCGACGACGAGCCCTGAAGACGTTGACCAACAAGACCACTGAAAACTGTCCAACCAAAATCCGCGGTCAAATCCAGGGAGGGTTCCCAAGCTGAACAGCACCATCACACACGCCCCACTGAGCAAAGCCAGCCATACTGCAGCGGCGCCGCTGTACAAAGTGATAATTGCAAAGATCTTCTTCCAGTGCCCGCCGTGCCAAGAGTGACTCCAAAATGTTGATATCTTATGAGCCTTGCGACTCTTGTGGTAGAAATCTCCTGCAGATCCAAATCGCAATGCTATCGCAAAATGTTCCAAAGCGCGAAACACAGGCGTCACCCTCAAAACTTCTGGGTTAAGCACCTCCATCTGGGCCACTCGTTCCACCACGATTGGCACCATCTCTTGAATGGTCAGGTCTGGCTCAGATTCCCCCGAAACCAGGCGAATATGCCCAGGACTTGTTGTAATGCCACGGTTCGGGATCGTCATCAGTCTGCTGCTACAGCTGCTCTGGCTGGGAGAACTCTGCCTCTCACACGGTACCTGCATGTTCAGAACGGAATCCTCGCAGCTCGTGTGCCTCGACCAAACCATATCTGCTCACCGGTCCCGGAAAAACAAGGCGAAACATGCAAGGCAGGGCTGCCGCTGCCTTTATAGCCGAATACACCAGCTTGTGAAGAACTGAAGCCCGTCGGCTGTCAGACTTGAGCCAAAACGAGTCTAGCGTTGACGGCCAGGATTGCATCAAGGCTCTCGCGAAGGCTGGGGATCGAGGCACCAAGCCTTTCGTGGAAGCGATGAAGGACAAGCAGCAGCAACACCTTTCCAATAAGTACAAGTACCACTGCTAGCAATATGGTATCAGAAAAGTATCATGATAGTATTGCGGTAGTATCACTATGGTACCACTACCATGGCCGGATCCCCCCAAAACGGAACCCCAGAGGGCGGCGCCGTATCCGGGCCAAAGTTCGAGTACCACGCCAGTTGGTCGTCCGCTTGTGTGGCGGCCACGCAGAGCTCCTACGAGGGTGATTTGCTTTGGCCTTGGAAAAGGGGCCTCAATAATTAGAATTAGAACAGGGTTCCCTTTTAAAGGGGGTCTATAAGGGCTACTATAGGGGTTACCATAAGGGTACTATGATATAGGGGCCTTAATAATTAGAATAGGGTTCCCTTTAAAGGGGTCTATAAGGGCTACTATAGGGGTTACCATAAGGGTACTCTGATATAGGGGCCTTAATAATTAGAATAGGGTTCCGTTAAAGGGGTCAAGAAGAGCTACTACAAAGGTTACCATAAGAATTGAATGTACTCCTCGGACGGGCCCCTTTTGCGAGGGTTTTGAAGGGATTGTATGCAGGCTTTACACCGGTGTCGAAGGGTCATTTTTCGGACGTTATAGGATGCCAGACGGTTTTATAGGAGTCTTACAGAGTCGGGATGTGTAGTTTCTGAAAAGCTGTCGCGACTTAGACGGGGTGCTTTAGCCCTTGGGAGAATGCCTTTCACGCATTTGTGTGGCCGATGGAGGGTGGGGTCCGCGTCTAAGGTCTTAGGGTTTAGGGTTTAGGGCTTAGGGTTTATAGGGCTTATGGACTTCTTCTTTGCATAGGATAGCTCGGAACACTGGCTCTGCTGGGGATTGTGTTTGACGGCCTTGATTTGGGCTTTAGGGAACTCTGCATTGGAAACGACCGGACGCGGTACCGCCTTTTCAACTACGATGAGGAGCTCCACGCCGCGGCCGTGCGGTACGAAGTCTTATGAGCACTGCAACCATAAACCCAAAACTCTCAAACGCCTACGTGACGAAACTCGAAAGCCAGGCCAAAACCTAAGCCAGCCCCAAGCTCAGAGCCCTAAACGCGCCAGGGCCCCAGGAAATTGGGGAGTTTCCGAAAACAGGGGACCCTAAATAGTAGGACCCTTAATATACGGATCCCAAAGTAAGGTATCCCCTAATTTTCGGAAACCCTAAACCCTTAGAGTAGCCCTTTAAAGCAACTCTTATAGTACCCTTATCGTACCCTTTAAAGGAACCATGAAGGGTACCCCCAATTTTCGGAAACTCCCATTTGAATACTCGAGCACTGAGACTCCCGCGGCGGGTCCCTTGTAGGCGCAGGGGTAATCCGGGCCTCGTTGTGGCAGGAAAGCCAGGGCTATACTATAAGGGTTCTAGTGTTTAGGGGTCCATTGTAAGGGTTCTACTATACGGGTTCTATTGTATGGAGATGTAGTGCTTAGGGCTTCTTCGAGAAACTCCGGGATACGAGAGCGGGGTGTCAAGTCTAGCGTGCAGGGCTTGGGCTAAAGCTGCTCGCATGCTTCCCTGTGTGCAGTTGGCACCTGAAGGGTGCATGTATCCGGCGTGGAAATACGATAAGCCTTAAAATCTAAGATCCCAGAGCTTTGAACCCTTCCCAGAGCGTAAGTAAGCCGCTCCCAGAGCCTTAATCCCTAAGGACAAATGACGGCGGGTGTCAGGGCTTCGCGTCGTTCTAAAGGTGGACTTAGCCAGCGGCAACCCAATCTCCAAGGGCCGAAGCCTCTTAAACCTTGCAGCATCACAAGAGTGCAATCAAAAGCGGATTTTCTATAGGAGTCTACTTTGCACTCCTTCTGAACGGCATACGTCATTCATTGAAAGGGAATGAAAGAGATTCTCATGACTCTCGGAAGCTTTTTCAATCGGACATCCAGGTCCTGGGAAGATAGGCTTGAAAGAAAGGCCTCCGACCTCTGCCTTAGACTTATTGGAAGGCTTGACTGAAGCTCGGGAATCCTAAACAGGTTCTACAACCTCAAACTCCCATGCCGACATGTCATGTTCCCATGCAGCCATGTTGCTGACGTCCACATCTTTCCTTGTAGGCGGGTGGGCTGCGCAATGAAACAGGACAAAATCATGAAGGGTGAAATCCCGGAATTTGTCACAACCCATAGTAATGAATGATGACGTGCCAGAATCGGAGCCAGAATTGCCAATAATTCAGAAAATCTGTCCAATGGCAGTATGGCAGGTCCGTTCCTGTAATTATGGAGCCTTGACGACAGCTGCTATACTAGCGGATCCCGATTGAATACTCTTCGGGGTCATGAGATAGGAAGTATTGGTTAAGTATTGCTCTTATTGTTATTGTTGGCATTTCTGGTTATTGTTGATAGAGATTATCATTCTCGTTACTTTCGTACCATTACAACTACAATATGAAGGAAACCGTCGGAGGAAGAAAGGGACTCGAAGACGATCCAAAAGATGGCGCCCTCAATACGTAGAGTCGGGTTTCGGGGTCTATTCTGATAAAAACATAGAGGGACTTCAACAAATTTCCCTAACCAATTATTCAGGAGCCCCCTTTGCGCCGAAGGTCCCATCGTTGCCAGCAGCAGCTATGAACAAGTGGTCCACCTTGATTTGCGAAGGTAGAACCGGGTTTTGGCCTCCTACTTCGCAAGGGCAGGGTTTAGGGGCATAGGGCTTGAAGTTTTAGGTTTACGGGGTAGCTGGCAATGGGCGCTTTTGTCAACGGTTTGTTTTCCTGAAGGAGTCACCTTACTGGGGTCCGTGTATTTTGCCTCCCGCCTGGCTAGCGCAATACCCACTGAATTAAGCAACCTACAGCAACCTCTGGTGACTATGGTGCCAATGGAATGACTCTGCGAAAAAATCGGGCCTCACCAACAATCCTCCCTTTTTCGCTGTATTCAGATTTCATTCAACGACGTTACAAACCCTAAATGCAAGCCTGCTCAAGGTATCCTCTGATTAGTGACGGGAGACCCTTGGGATAACTATGAAACTAGCTACGGCCAGGGTCGGGGCTACGCACTAGCACGGCAAGCGCTCCCGTCTTTTCTGGCACACGTTCGGACCAAATGCCTTCAGGATGTTCACACTGCATCAGCAACTTTCGGGAAGGTCTGACTTGTCGTAACAAAGCTCGAAAGGGAAGACACCATCGCGCATGCTCCTGTTAACACTCTCAAGTTTCACACTGGTTCTACTTCTAACCTTCCTGTTGCTGATTAGGCCGCCTCTTCCGCCAATTGCGAGAGGCAAAACTAACTTGCCCTGAAGAGCTTCCCACCAATCGGAGGGGTTTTGGGGCTTAGTCAAAACATCACCTTTCTGGACAGCACCTGGAATCCAGGCGATTGGCAGATCCTCGCACCACATTTCAGCTCGTAGAGCTTGCCTCAGTGCTGCCAGGTCGACTGCAAGCCTTTTGTCCGTCGGTACACGAGGTACTCCTTGACGGTTGAGGTGGTCGTAGAGTGATCGGCAGTCGCTGAGGCAAAGGAGCGGGGTCGTGGCCTGCTCAACCGTGACCAATGGCCCTTTGACAAGGGTCTCCAGCATCGACCGGATGTATTGTCCGGTTTCCAATCCTTCTGCGCATGCTTGAGTCTCTGCACCGAAAGTACTCCTGCAGACCCTCTGGCCGGCACGTGACTTCCAGTCGGCAATGCTGAAGTTCCCGGGCTCGTTGTTGAGGGCCCCTCTGTCGGTGAAGGTGACGAGGACTCCAAGTTGCGACGCGACTTTAGAGCTCCCCTTCTTCGCCTTTCTCCCATCACTCTTGTTGACGTAGGGCCCCTCGGTCTGGAGCCCCGCGAGATCGTCCTCCGGGGTCAAGACATAGTAGTCCTCGTAGGGATCGGCCTCGGGGACGTTCGCCCAGGCCGCGTCGTGGTAGATCACCAGCATCAGCCTCTCCAGAGCAACAGGGCGGAACACCAGGCCTTGACTCTTGAACTGTAGCGCTTTGGAGGCCGTCGCGTTCGTGAAGCGGAGGTCGCCGACCGTGGGCTGCTTCTGGAGTTGCTGTGCCATACTCACGGCACAAGTCAAGTCCGGACGGCTTTGTCCCGCCATCCACGACAATGCACCTATCAATGATCTGTTGTCACATGCGAGCTCATCGCTCGCAACCTCTTCGTCCTTCGCGTCGGTGGGGATCTCGAGCTTGAAGAGGCGGGTAGTGGCGTACTTCTCCTGGACCACCTGGATTGCCTCCTGGCCCACCTTGATCTGTGACCCAAGGAACTCGAACTCCTCCTCTTCCCAAGACTCAATCGGAAAGACAACGGAGAGTGCTTCTTCGATCTTCTTTCTGACACTTCTGGGACCAGCCACCAACAGGTCGTCGACATGGCAACCCACGTAGGCAATCGGGCTGCCGATGAACTCCTCGTTGTTCCACCGGCGAAGCATAAAAATGCAAGGATCAAGAGGGCATTGATCAAAGCGGTACTCGTTGCCGTCTTCGCCTTGAATCTTCACTTCACGGAAGCCGGCTTGGAGATCTCCCCACCACTCGTGAGGACTGGTGGCGAGGCCGAACACGTTCTTCTTTATGCGCACGAGTTGCCCTGGTGACATACCCGGGAACCCCGTCCTCGGCTGGTGCATGAAGAGTTCTCGAGAGAGGTAGCTTCCTGTCAGAAATGCACATCGGATATCTCCAGCAGACAGCTCCCAGCGGTCTTTTTGCGCAAGGCCATTGGCAGTGAGCTGGAGAAGGCAGGCCAGTCCGCTTCTGGAAAGGGTGGGCGCGTCGGTAGACAGATGCTCGTTGCCCAAGTCCGGATCGGTGTGTCCGGCGATGACAAGGCGGGATTTGCATCGCCATGGCGCCTCTGCGTCTCCTTCTCTTCGTCGCGCCCAGTTCTTGTCTTTATACGCCCATCTGCAGCGCAAGATCCTCTCTGGGGCGACCCGAGCTCGTACCTCATCGCTGGCCTCGGTCGTCAAGGGCTCCAGGGCGTCGTAGGACAAGTGCTCCTCCCACTGTACGCGCTCCGCGTCGTGGAACTTCTCCCGGACCTCCTCTGGAATTTCCGTCCACTTGAGCTCCTTCTCCTTCCGCTTCTCGACTCCCCTTCGGGTGAGGTCACTCTTGAGGATCATGGCCTCATTCGCCGTCTCGTCGAGCTGGGTCATGTTGGTCTTGCGCTTGAGCCGTCGCGTAGGCATAGGTAGGTCCTCATCGACCAGGGCCGGCTCCAGGACGAGGTCCTCGTCGTGGTCGAGCTCCATGTCGCCGATCTCGTCGTCCTCGCCGACCTCGACATCCTCGGGGTCCTCTTCGAACGCCTCGTCTCCGTCAGGGTCGAACTCAAGTAGCTTTTCGACCTCCCGTTGAGTCCCCTTCATGGATAGGTACGCGCCCACCTCCTCTGGTGTGGAGCCTCGGATGTGTTCGGGAGAGGTTAGCCTGCACCTGCCATTGCTGGATATCCAGTAGTTGTTGCCCTCCTTGCCGACGATCACGGCCGGTCCGGTCCAATGGCCTCTCCGTCTGTTTTTAGGCTTGTGCCAGAAGTGCACGCTCTCTCCGACTTCGTGGGGCCTGGGCACCGTCCTCGTCCTTTGCAAGAACGCTTTGCGGAGACGACTGTCTGGCTCCTATGGAAAGCGACACGCGAGGCTGCCCTCATAGCCGCCTGCCTTTGGAACCGCGAGTCCTCACTCACATCCCATGTGACGTGGTTGCCGCCGTCGGGGTCCTGCAGGTCCTCAGGGATGCGCGGTGCCCTGCCGAACACCCATTGTGAAGGACTGTGTCCGCACCTTCTCCGAAGATCGTTCTTGGCGCTGTTGATGATGGGGGCCGCTATCTCCGCCTCGTCCTCGCCGATGGTGAGCTCGTAGACTAGTCTTTCCCATATGTTCTTCCACCAGGCTTGCTGCCGCTCGATCATCCCGGCCTGCCAGTGGCTTTGGGCAGCGATGCTCTTCATAGCGATATTGTGCCAGTCGCAAAGACGGCCGAGTGCTCCTTGTACTCCGCCGTCGAGGTCGACAACCACGCTCTTAGGAGGCCCAAACGGCACGATCCACATCTCGTTGAACTTCGCCTCGATGTCCTCGGCAGACTGACCGTCGACCTTCACGGCAAGGTGGTACGTGGTCCCGTAGTCAACCGCAGAGAGGAAGGTGTGCTTCACGTCGTTGATGTCGTGAGCGTAGAAGAGGTCGATCCCGACTGTGTCATTCCAATCACAGAGCTGCGGGATCACGCTAGGTCTGGCTATCCGCGGGGCAGCATTGGCTTCACAGACTTGACATCGAAGCCCGCGAGCGGCCTTGATGACCGGCTCGTCGCACCCAGCAAGCCGTAGATGCCTGATGAGGTCGCAGTTCTGCGGGTGGCCGAGGTTCTGGTGTAGCCTCCGAAGGGCGGACGCTATCATCGGAGGGGTGGTCTCTCCGAAGGTGATACCTGTACCATCATAAGCAACATCGTGTGCAAGCCCGTCTCCTTCTCCAGAACGATCCACAACACAGACTTGGTGACACCTCGTAGGTCCGGGCATCTTTTCGCTTCGCTCACATGCCCTGTACAAGATGTAGGTTTCCTCCCCGTGCTCGTTGCCATTGTACTGGGTGTAGTTGTCGCGCAGGTACTTGAAGAGCTCTTCGTCGTAGATAGTGTCCTGGCTGCTCCCCTTCACGACCACCGTTCCCCCTTCGTTGATCTGCTGTTGCATCAGCTCGAGAACGGGTCGATTGCAAGCATCCTTCTTCCCGAAGAGGTTCACCCGTAGCTCTCGAGGTGCGCCGCCGTTGATCACGTGGTAGGCGGTCTCTTTGCCCTCCGGAGATTGGTAGGTAGCCCAGTCCATGGGCTCGAACACGTCCTTGCCAAGTGACACGGCCTCCTCGGTGCCAGCTGTGCCGCCGATCTCGAAGATGACGATGGGCTCGACGATGGGATCCGGGAACACGTGGTTGGCAAGGTAACTGGAGGCCGCCGTCAGAAGAGTCGCCATCAGCACGCCAACTTTAGCGGCATTGTTGAAGATCTTCTTTCGTGTTGAAACACAGGGTTTCCTCCTGGTAGCATCGCCGGGAGCGGCGCCATTCCTCCTGGGTAGAGGGAATCCGCACTTCTTGAGGTAGCCGTGGAGAACGTCATTGACCTTGGTGTAGTTCCTTGTAGAATGGTAGACCAAGCACCATCTGCCGCCGACCCAGGGCTCCGTAGCGTGCTTGAGGAAGGGGTCGAAGGTCACGAACTTCTCCTTGTTGTCGGCGACTCTCCCCGGCATCCACCGCCCGGCTTTATCCTGGCGCCACTTGACTGTAGATGCTTCCAGGTTTCCCTCGTTGATCTCCTTGTTCTCTATCCACAGACCGCCGCCGCTTTCCTGGCCGAAGGAAACGGCGTGGTTGTAGGTGCCTTTGAGGTTGTGGAAGTCGTGGTGGACATCCGTCTCCGTATTGAAGGCGATGGTAACCGAGGTCCACGTAGCGCCCTTTCCAAGATGCCGCTTGCCAAACTCGTTGATGTACCGGGCCATGGCACTTTGCTCCTTCGTGCGGGTAGTTATCCCAAAAGTTCCACCATGCGTGTAGAGGCCGAGAGTGTGGTAGGTAGCAGCCTTGCCGGTCTTCCCGATGACGCCGTCTCTCTCGGTACGGACCTCTCGTAGGCCAGCCTGGTTGAGGAGGTCGAGGAGCTTGTCGTAGGTGAAGTCATTGTCCTGGTAGGCCCGCGCGAACTCATCTTGGTTGTCCTGGGTTGTGGTGGCACAAGCATAGTTGGTGTGCTTGCTAGCAAGGGCCTTCGCGAACTCCTCTTGACTGATGAAGGCCTCGTGGAAGAGGACATCGTCTTCCTTGCCACAACACCCGTCCTTGTGCACGAAGGTCTTACTTCCAAAATGGCTGCCCTCACGCTCATAGTCGCATAGCCCTCGACGGGGAGGTCGCGGAGAAAGCAATTCCGCATGCTCATCAAAGCGTACATGGAGGCGAGGAAGATCACCTGGTGGTGCGCCTCCATTGGTGTTTGCCTTCCCGTCGGATCGTAGTGCCGTGTCCTCGCTGTGGTCCTGGGTGCCCGTGGCGGCGAGGTCGCCAAGGGTCCCGCCCTCTTCGCTCACGGTGCCTTTGGCACCGCCTTGGCAGTCACTTTCGCCTTGTCCTTCAGGGCCGCGAGCTTCTGTTCCAACGCCTCGATCTCGGCAATCGTCTCCGGGTCGCCCTCTGCGTCCATCGCGCTCTCCGCCTGGGATGAGCTCCCGCGCTTGTTGGTGCGGGGAAGCATGAGGTCGGTGTTCCGACTGTAGCCCTTCGACGCCCCTTTCGCTGGGGTCTGCTTCTTCGGCGACTCCCTTCCCCACTCGCTCCAGTTGCCCCACGCCGAGGTGTCCGTCTCCGAGTCGGGAAAGGGGATCACGGAGTTCGCCTCGATGGTCCTCTCCTCCACATACGCCCTCTCTTGGGAGTTGTCCCACCAGCGAGCGAACCTCACCAGTTCCGGGTGAGGATTGGAGCTCGCCTTCACTTCTCTGGATGCCCACTCCGCGTAGCCACGAGGCACTTCCTGGAACTCGAACCCCTTGTACTTGCCGATTTTCATCAGTTCGGTCCCGGGAGTGGACAGAGAGTCCCTGATGAGGCGAAGGAGGTTGCCCTTCGTGGTGGTGTGGTTGTACTCCACCCCAAGCTCGTCGGCCTTGATGCGGAGCTCCGGGAGATTCAGAGAGGTGATCGACTTCATCTGGTGTCCGGGCTGAGAGGCTGCGTTCGTCATACGGTACTCCTGAATGACTGCCTTGATCTCTTCCACCGTCCAGGTACGGTGGACCACCAATCCGACTCTCTCGCACTCCTGGAGGAGCTGGGCCTTCGTCATCGAGCTGATCGCGGGCGGTTTGCATTGCGAGGCCATGTCCTGAAGGAGAGAGCTCGGGGGGATGCTTGGCGCTATTGCCGTCCTTGGCAAAGGTAGTTCTGCCGATCCATAACAGCGGGAAGGTCGGTTCTTCAAGGCCCTCACTCCAACGATCAACTGTGACTTCCAACGGCTTGCCTGTCCTACAGCAGAAACCCTCCGTGATGCGTGTGTCGGCAATCGAACTGAGCAACATGTCCTTCTGGATGGTGGAACTGGTTTTCCAAGTAGATGGGTTGCATAGGGCTCTCCTTGGGGTAACATGTACTCTATACCATGCGTGCTCACCTTCCAACCAAAAGTCCGTTGACACCTTGCTGCCTTCCCACCACGAGATAAAGGACTGCTCATGAAGACGATCTTGCGTGAGGATGTTCTTGGCTTCCGGACTAAGCTTCTTGTCGTAGAAGATTTTGTAGTTGACGGCTTGGTTGGGGCTTGATGTAGGAGGACTGTTCGGCGAACTTGTAGAGAACCTTGGACCACTCTTCGGGGGGCCTTGGGACTTGAGGCTTGTTGTTGATACCGCAAAGGCCGTGTATTGCACATCGCTCGGGGCCTGTCGGTCTGCAATCACAAGACGACCAGCTCCTTCGCCGGGCCTTGCTGGAATGATAGGAATTGCGGGATGTCCCGAGGTGGTAGTGATGAGCCCGAAGCCTTTGAGGCCCAATGCTCGAAAATCCGCACGGTTAGCGGCAACATCGTAGACCATCCCGAGCTGGGCCAACGAGTCCTTTGAGAGAAGCAGCGGCACGTCTCCATTGATGATTGACGCCTTCAATTCAATCACCTGGCCGCCCATCTCGAAGTAAAGCACGACGTGGAACGATGAGTGGTGCACCTTCCCGGTTCCGAACCTGAAGGCTTCATGTTCCCTCACGAGCTCGGGCTTCTGGTAGACGCGGGAGATCTCGTTGCTATAGTTCTGGAGCCAAGCAGTGCCTGCGACCGACTTGGCGCATGCCGTGTCTGTGATTCCAACTAGCCCTCTGCCGTCATGGCGCACCGCGTACACCTCCAGAGGAACATGATGGCAAACTTCCACGTCTCGCACACTCTGGCCAGGACCGTTGTTAGGGCATTCTGGGTCCTTGTGCCAATGGCCCTTTTTGCCACAGCTGTTGCAGTAGGACTTGCTCTTCATGAGGCGGATCTTCTCGTCGCGAGAGGCGTCATTGCCCTTCGCCTTCCCTTTGTCCCCTGCACCGCGGTCGCCGTAGTATCCTCTGGCCTTGTTCTGCTCCTTGTACTTCTCCTTGGCAGTCTGGTAGGTCGCATACGCCACCGCCACGTCCTCAGGGACACCATCCTCGAGCTCTGAGCCGTCGCCCTCTGAGACGGTGCCGTCCGCGGTGTCGGTGACGTGCGCCGTGTGCGCGCGCCGGCCCTTGGTAGTCTCCCAAGGCTTCCTCTGACCGCGGTCGTGGAGCACCGCGGCCTGCTGAAGTCGATGAAGACTGTAGGAGTTGCCGACGCTCGCCAGGAGGTTCAACTCTTGGCTCTCCTCGAGCTGTAGCCTGTCCAAGTAGAGCCATGCCGCGCACTCCTCGGGGATAGAACATCCCACCTCGCGCAAGCGCGCGTGCAGCCTGTCATACTCCGTGTTATACTCGCGGATTGTTTGCCCTTGTCGGCGACGCAAACGTCTGAAGAAGTCACTGAAAGCCCGACCAATCCTTGCCACTTCCAGATCCAAGAACCGGGCATTGATCCACGAGACCAGGTAGCTCACGCCATCGTTGGATCCCAACCTTGGAAGCGAAAGCTCTTCCGCCGAGATCCACGCCTTCCCAGTCAGGTTCTGGTACAGGACGAGTCCTTGTTGGGACTCCGGCAAGTATGTCATACGGCGCCACGCTTCAATTTGTCGAAGATACGACCTTGCAGAACCTCCAAGGTCGTCGGCATCCTCTCCAGAGAAAGAGGGTACAGTAAGCTTCTCTGAAGCGCGCCCGCCGCCTCCTGACTGGCTGCCGTATCGGCCGCCTTGGGAGCTGAAGCCACCGCCGTCGAAGTGCGACCAGCCACTCCATGCGACTCCGTCACTATCACTCCACGCTCCATTGCCCCAGTTTCCGCCGCGGCCTCCTTCGTAATCGTCACCTCGGTCTCGAGGAGCTCTACCATCCGCCCAGGGAGCTGCTTGGAAAACTCCTCGATCGCCGCGTCCAGCTCGTGGGGCCCATTGGTCGTCATGCTTTGCCTTGGTCCACGGGTCGTCGCCATTGGACCATGGGTCTGGGTCCTTTGGCTGCCATCCTTGATCGGTGCCAGTGCCAGGGGCAGTGCTCGCCGACGTATCCCAGCTAGCTCTCCGATGCCAACCGGAACGATCGTCCCCTTGGCGGTCGCCACTATCCCGTCCATTTCCCCATGAACGAGCTTCGCCGCCATCCCAATGACTCCAAACAGAGTCACGCCACTCGCCCCGAGTGGCGTCAGCACGATCTTCACGATGATCACCGCGATCATTGGCGAGTCGGTCGCCACGCTCTTGATTCACACTAGCGGCCTCGGGTGCAACCTGAGGCCCTGCCGCATGGTCGTTCCTGCTGCGGAAGACGGGTTCGGGAGGACTCTCTGGAGCTCCTGATCTTCGGTCTGCTGAATCGAAGCCAGGAGGGGGTCTATCATCTACTTGACGAACATCATCAGGTTGGGTTTGAACACCGTCAGACGACATAGCAAAAGCGGAGGCAGGATCTACAGGAGCCGAAGCTCCGCTACCAGTATGAAACTAGCTACGGCCAGGGTCGGGGCTACGCACTAGCACGGCAAGCGCTCCCGTCTTTTCTGGCACACGTTCGGACCAAATGCCTTCAGGATGTTCACACTGCATCAGCAACTTTCGGGAAGGTCTGACTTGTCGTAACAAAGCTCGAAAGGGAAGACACCATCGCGCATGCTCCTGTTAACACTCTCAAGTTTCACAATAACCCCATAAATTAGCTAGGTTCTACAGGGTTCGGACAGGGTTTAGGATTTGGGGTTAAGGGTTTAGGGGTTAGGATTTGGGGTTAAGGGTTTAGGGATACGTCTTAAATTGACACTGCATCCGTACAAGCATCTGTCAAACAGCTAAACTGCCCATAGTGAAGCCCCAGGCCAACCAAAGAGACACAGGCGTGAGACATGGGAGTTTCCGAAAATAGGGGACCCTAATATGGTATCCTAAATAGTAGGATCCTTATTATAAGGACCCCCCCAAAACAGGTACCCCTAATTTTCGGAAACTCCCATATGAGTGGAACTTTGTCTTCAGGGCTCGGCCATGATAAAACTCCGGCAGGACAGGTACTTGGAGGCCCAGGGGACTTAGTAATTAGGTTCCTTAAAGGGCTGTTTAAAAGTGGATCTATAAGAGTTCTATAAAGGAGGTTTAGGGTTACTTGGTGGCTTGGGGGACTTAGTAAGTAGGTTATAAGTAGGGTTATAATTGGGGTAGCTCCATTTAGGGTACTTGTAACCCTACTTATAACCTACTTACTAAGTCCCTTGGGCCTCCAAGTATTCTGTGAATGTTCCTGGGTACTCGAGGCATCGGAGGGGCTTGTCCCCCTATGTTTCAAAGGGGCTGAGGGTTTAAGATTCACTATTGCCTGATCTAGAGTAGGGCTCCGGGCTTGAAGTCGAGGCTTTGTTGATGTTTGAATCCGAAATTCTTGAGCCGCACAACCCAAAGCCCTACATATCCAATATGAACGTCTGAAGAATTTTTGAAGACCCTTCACAGTCCGTATAGATCAACGTGTACTACAGTACGCCCGACAACTTGATTTTGATATTGAGCCGTCGTAGACCCTTTATCGAGGAAACTCGAAAACTCCGAGACAGCGAAGCCCCAAACCCTACACCCTAAACCCTAAACCTACACCCCACACCCTAAACTCAAACCCTGACCCTAACTCCCAAACCCTTATATAACTTATATAGCCCTACGCCGTCTTTATGAATAGTACCCTTTAAAGGAACCCTTGAAGGAACCCTAACATAGTACCCTCTAAAGAGCCCCTGAAAAGAGCACTGCGGACGCCTCGGCTGCACGCTCCAGTGCGGCACGCAGAGCGGCCGACTGGCCGCCACCGCCCCAGCCTCTTAGGGTTTAGGGTTTAGGGTTTAGGGTTTCCCTTCAAAGGCTCCTTTAAAGGGTACTGTAATAAAGAGTCTTAGGGTTTAGGGCTTAGAGCTTAAAGGTTCCTTTAAAGGGTACTATAATTGGGTTCCTTTAAAGAGTCTTAGGGTTTCGGCGCTCACACTTCTGAGTCCTGAGGGTTTAGGGTTTAGAGCTTAGGGGTTCCTTTAAAGGGTACTATAATAGGGTTCCTTGCGGTCCCTTCAAGAGCCTCTGCTGCTTTCTTGTTAATTACGGGATTTAATTTAAAGGAGACCGTATTGTTCTACTATAGACCCCCCCTATTATGGTAACTTAAAATAAATTCTTAACAAGAACCCAGTCTCGGGGCTTGAGCGGTGTGCAGTTTATGCTTTGGGCTATAGGGTTTGGATTTAGTTATAGGGTGTCTGGGGTTCTAGGATTTAGGTTTAAGGCCTGAAGCTATAGGCTATGACAAAAGGGTTTGGGCTTACAGGGTCTGCAGGGCTTCTATAGTTCAGGGTTTGGGTCAACACTCACAACCGGGACAAGCCTGAAGAGGCTCCTGGTACGTACGACGAAGCACAATGGCTGCGGAGCTAGCGGTGCTCTCACCGACAGGATTTTGGGTTTGCGGCTGAGGGCTCGGGGTTTCAAAATTTGGGGTTCAAGGTCGAAGGGACTCCGGTGATTAAGGTTAGGGTTTAGAGTTTAGGGCAAAATTTGCCTCTTCTGCATTTTGCTCTCCGAGGTGTTAGTATTGTGCTTGCTGACACCATCAGATCTGGGGGCATGCAGCAGTGGCACTTGGCACTATGTTGAATTGTGGGAGTAGTCGGGCGCAGCACAAATTCAGTGGTCGTCGTCGTCGTGCTGGCAGTAGTCCTCGTCATTGTTGTCAGTAAGGTGTTGCAAGACTGCAACATCCCTTTTTGATCGTTGTAGCTCTCAAGCAGCCGCAAGACTCCTCTAAATATTATATTACTGTATAGATAGCATGTCATTATATATCTATATATCTATATATCTATATATCTATATACCTATATGTTTATATATACATGCGTATATATATATATATATAGTACAAACTCTAGTATGTGGCCGTGTATTTTGCAAAATCTCCATAGGGCTGTTTCATCACCGTCGGCCCTGCCAGGGTTCGTCCGAGAGGCTGTTGGACGAGATCTGCGCGCCGTTGGCGATGGCATATTCCAGCCTTGCTACTATGATTTGTATTAACATACTGTAACATGACATGCTATAACAAAAAAGGCTATGATCTGCTATAACAGTAACATAGTACGAAATCCTATGATATGCAATGTTATACTATAATGTACTCTGATATGCTATAATACACGTTAATATTGTAGTGTTTGGGTTTGGGGCTTCTTCGTGGTTTTCTCCCAGCGGTTCTGGGACTATCGAGCTTCGATGTTTCTGAAGCCCCGGGATGGGTGTACCAGGCCAAGAGCCCTTAAATGTAGTCCTTATGGCCCTTAATCGTGGGTATTTGGGGTATATTAGAGGGTAGCTGGGTGGTCTAGGTAGGTACCGGCTGGGATTGAGAGTTTAGAGCCTCTAGGGTTGAAAACATGGTGGCTCTTCAGTGAAGAGCTCAAGCAGTTCATTACCCGCGGCGCAAGTCGGGTGCTATAAGAGATGCAGGGTGAGGTCTGGACTTCATGCTTGAGGGTATGCACTTCTCCGGAGATGCACGCGGCGTGACACGAAGCAGCCGGGGTACAGGAGAAAGTTCGGCGTGGGGACGAATGCGAGATTTGGGACTACAATTATCGCAGCGACGGGTACCCAGGATCACATTCCAACCCCGCACGCTCAGCCCAAGCTTCGTGCTAAGCTGCGACAGGACGGCATCACTGGTGCGACCGCCTTCGGTGGAGAGGAACCGAATCGCCATAATGCGCGCCTCCGGAGTTGGCTCGGTTCTTATTAGGCTTCGGGGCTCTGACTCTAAGGCAGACACACAGGTTCCACACTCTGAACCCGAAACATCCCGAAACCCCGGTTGAGCAGAGGAGCTCCCAAAAAGAAAAGCTGCTAAAGGAACCTGAAGTGTCTGCCCAGCACATCCAGGAAGACCATGATCCAGAACAAGCCTCAGCCCTGTCCTTACACCCTCAATCCTACACCCTTAAAACCCCTGCAGCCTAATACCCTTACATCCTATATGCCTTCAAAGACTCTAAACCCATACAGCATCGCAGGGCTTCAGTGAAGTCAAAAGAAATCGAATCGCAAAGCCGATTCCTTACTACCAGATTTCTACGATGAAATCCCAAAAGCCAACTCGAAGTGTTAAGGCACCCACAGCCCTCAGACTGTGATTACAACCGTCTCATCAACCCTATGTTTGACAGATTGTCCGGCCTGCCAGGATTTCAAGCTTTAGGGGTTTAGGGCTTAGGGCTTCAGGGTTGGATTACCGACTCGAGTGACTGAAAGGGGTAAGGGCTGAGAGCTGGTATGCATGCTGTGAAAAAAGTGTGGAAGGTTGCACGAGGTCCAGAATCTCCGGATATACATGAGGAGGCTTTATTAATTTGGGTTTCTATGCTAAAGCTATGGAATCCCACAAACATAGACCCATAAGTTACGATCCAAGAGCTCTTGCGTTCGTGGTGCCTGAAGGCTGGCAACCTACCATGACAGCAACCCAGCTGCACCCAAGGTACTTTCGGCACTAGAGATTTAGGCTCCGGTTTTGGGTGGTGTGAGTAGGAACTGCAGTTCGGGAATTCAAGCATAGTGAAGGCTTAGCCGTCGAGAACACTGGCAATTGGGACGACATCAGTTGCACTAATTAGTCCGGAAAGCAGGAACATACGGAAAGCGACACCCCGGTCGAGATCAATATCAGGACCTGGGACTTGATAGAAAGTAATCTGGTTCCCGAAGCTAGACCCTAAATCCTAGACTCTAAACCCTATAAACCCTATATCAACTTCTGTCAGGCCTGGGCCAGCCTGCTGGCAACGCCGGCGACACCAATTCCTCGGCTATGGCACTCAGGGCGTCTTCGGGCTGTCCGGGGCCCTTCGGGGGCTGGGGGTTTTAAGGGTTTAGGATTTGGGGTTTTTGGTTCCCTCCGACCTAGCAAGGACGAAGGGTATGTGGGGTTAGGTTTAGGGTTGGTATGCGCATAGTCACAATATAAAGACAGTTGGTGTGATGTTTTGAACGCGGTTGTCAAACATCCGATCGTCTACTGACCAGCTCCGAATCCAGCTCTGAATGGCTCTGGATATGTACTGTCTGCCTGCGTCGTCGCAGGAGCCTCATTTATGCCCTCAAGTTGTTTTGGGTGCTCCAGGCCGGAGATCGTTTCCGTGTTATTTACGCCCCTACGCTCGGGAATTGGAAAGCTACGATACCCCAGAGACTCCAATACCCCTTAATTAAGGAATATTCTTTAAATCATATTAGGGATCCTACTAAAATTTAAAATATATTCCTTAATTAAGGGATATTGGAGTCTCTGTGACTTTCTAGCGGTTTATGGCCCTGGCTTGGTTTTTACAGTCTTTTCGGCTCTCACACTCGGCTTTGACACCCTTTCGGGGTTCTGTGGAGAAACCGCGCATAATTGCATTCAGATTGCATTCTTTGCTGCGACCGTTCTACGGATGTTTCTGGAATTTACGCACTTTTGCGCTTGAAAGTGCGGTCTCTTGATAGTTTGTAGCCTTTTGATTTTGCTTGGGTTGGATTTCCGCATTTGTCGCGTCTGTTCTGGTGTGTGTTTCAGGTTTCCAGCCGCTGGAGAAACTCGGAGAAACATAGGGACCTTGCAAACAAGAGGCTTCTAATCACGGGTCTACATGACAAGACCCTATGAAACGCTCTAGCCCTACAGAAGCTTTGAACAATCTTCTGAAGGACCTGGCAAGCCTATCCGTCAGCGGTCTGCATTAAGGTACCCAGAGACTCCAATACCCCTTAATTAAGGAATACTCCTTACATCATATTAGGGATCCTGCTATAATTTAAGGTATATTCCATAATGAAGGGGAATTGGAGTCTTTGGGTACTCTGTACTTCCAAGCTGCATTCCACCAGTCTCGAGTTTCAAGGGTGTTGGGTCAAAGGTGCAGCCCGAACCTGACACCCTGATCACGAAACCTTGGGCCTTTATTAGGGTTCCTTATAATATAAGGTTATGAATTTTAAAATTTTGGGGTTATAGGCCCATGGTTTCTTAATCAGGTTCCTACATTAGTCCCTAAGGTTTAAGGCTCTGGGCATTAGGTTCTGCTTTCCGGGGTCAGGCTTTTCGGGATTGCACAAAAGTTTGGGTTTACTTGTAAATCCTTACCAAACGAACCTCGCAGTTCTACGGCAGCCCACTTTAGCCCGCAAGCCCGGAGATCTGCCCTTTGACTCTAGCGACGTCCTTCCTTCGATTTAACATATACGGATCATTGCGGGACTAAAGGTTCACCTTTAAGAGTATTTGGGAATATTTAGGGATTGTACTTCCCCAAAAAGGCTGAACGTTACCCACTCTACGGGGGTAGTCTGGTTCGTCGAGGAGCCATTGTTTGCAGTGGCTGCGACCACACCGGCCTCAGCGCTGTACCCGTTGTCACACGGGGGCTCAAGATTCCAGATGACTCTTGTTACTAAAATCATTCTTGTTATTGTTATCTGTTATTTCTAACAGTAGTTTCAATATTACTACTATGTCTGTTATTAGTAATATTGCTGATATTAATAATATGAAACCCTCCCTATCTCCATACGGCACCTCGGACCTCGGATAATCGGACAGAGGTTGTGACAACTATCCATATGAACAGAGGCGCCAAAAAACCGAAAAAAGGATGTACGAACGATGCAAAACTGCATGGCTCATCTTAACATGCGTCTGGATTCAGCCATCACTGCCCCCAATCCCAAAACCCCAAACCCTAAAGTGTAGCTTGGCGGCACAGTGGGTCCCATGACCATCGTCATCATCGGGATTCCCATTGTAGTCTCAGCAGTTTAGGGTTCAGGGTGTAGTAGCTGTCAGGCCTGGAATGTGCATCAGGGTTTAGGGGTTTAGGGGTTTAGGGGTTTAGAGTTTAGGGGTTTAGAGTTTAGGGGTTTAGGGGTTTGGGGGTTTAGGGTTTGGGGGTTTAGGGGTTTAGGGTTTAGGGGTTCAAGGGTTTTAGGCTCATTTAACTGGCTTGAGGCGCGAAATCTTGGGCCTCATGCTTTCAAATTCTGCCTGCAGCCGAGCCCACCAAAGAAGTTGTATCCGTGAACATCATCGACGTAGCCGTTGCCGTCATCATCTACCTGAGGACGGGCAAGCACTTTATGATACTCCTTTGAACCCGTACTGAGGCCGATGCTATAATTCTCCATAGGCCCTTAACTTGCAACCAGGACTCTCACACTAGCTGGCAGCATCCGCAATGTTTCCCGCCCTTCCAAAGTTCACCATCCACCAGACTGTCAGATGAGAACTAGAAGGGGATACGATGAACAATCATTCCGATCTCCAATTACACGATCTCTTCGAGGGCAACGCTGTCTACAAATCAGAAAATCTGATGCTAACTGCCAGTACTGCCAAACCCCTAAGCCCAAAATCCTACCGATGGGCTGCAACACCAGATGGCTGCGCTACCCTTGCAGCCGACTTAGGCAAGACCCGAACCACTTAACCGAATGTAGCCGCGAATTCATGATCACGTTCCTCTGAGCAAGTGAAAATCTGCCAACTCAAACCGTTCCTGGTATTGGACACCGCCCGCTGTGCACGCTGACAAAGTCATGCATTGAGAGTTATAACAGAAACATGTGAAGCAAGCTTCAATCCTACAATCCTGATAGCCCGAAAAAGGGTCCTCGCGCGGAAACGGAGTCAGTGTTCGGTCGCGCCGCTCCATTTCCAGGAATCTCGCCTGGGTTGGTCCAGAGCATGTCCTGCAGGTCCTGGGTGCCCGGCTTCAACTTTACATCCGCCTCTTAGGGGTTTGATGGATACCCTTTGTGAACGAGGTCTCTCTGCAGTGTCTCGGGTAGTATGATTTCATCGATCTCTCTAGCATTTATACCCCAAACCCTCAAGCACGAGCGCGAAACCCCTAAACCCTGCACACCGAGTCAGAAGCTTCCGAAGCCAGAGAAGGGCTAAGTTTAGGGGTTTAGGGTTTAGGGTTTAGGGTTTAGGGTTTAGGGTTTAGGGTTTAGGGTTTAGGGGTTTAGGGTTTAGGGTCAAAGTCCGAAGTCAACCCCCAAGGCGCTGCCATGAGACCGACACCTACCTCTCTCTGCACCGCTGAAACTAGGGTTCACCTGAGCTCCCCAAACCAAAAACTACATTTTTAAGGGCTTACGTAAGAGAATCCTAAAAATCTGGGTTTCTTGAATTGTCCCTATTGCAGAAAAGTTTTCAACAAAAACTAGAAGCCCTTGTGTAATCCTTTAAGAGGACCCTTGTTGCTGCTGTAAGCCGTTTTTTGGTTTCGCGGTTTTAGGGATTGAGGTGTAAGCTTCGGGATTTACGGGTTTACCGCAGAAGGATTCTCGGCTTAAAAGATTGAGGCTGTGAGCTTTATACAGGCCCTGAACCTGTAAGTGCACGTCTTGCTGCGTTGAACGGTGGGCATTTACTGATTTTGTCTTGTCCGGAATACAAATTTACTCGGCGTGGATGCCTAGAGGACATGTGCTCGGGGCGTTCTCGGGCGGGGTTTCTTGGGTTGTGCAGACTCGAGCAAAGGTCGCGAAACTCCTTGTAATCGTTGCAGCGCCAGATCAGATCACCAATGACGTTGAGAAGCAACCAACAATATGAAATGAAGCCTTCTTGTGCCAAAACCAGGTGACTGGATGGTCGAGCTGTACCCCCGAGTCGATCACGGCCACCACGACCTTGCCAATGAAGGGTGGCTTAGGGTTTCGAACCATGTGCAAGTGCTAGTGCTCTCGTGCGGGGTTCAATAGTGGTGTGTACGTAGAGCAGTAAAGTTGTGAAATCTATGCATCCCGTCCTCTCTCGCAGTGCTCAGCAGATAGCATGCCGCCCCTCATGTGCGGAGTATGCTGATACGTTCTGACAGCAATGGATTGTATTGGAGGAACTGCTTGGGGCTGAAAACCCAAAGCCGCATCAAAGTCTTCATGTGGATGTGTTGAATATTTTTGTGAATCTCCTCTTTTATAATCAAAACCTGTTGGATGGACGTATCAAAAAACGAGATCGCATACAAACTCAAAACCTCATATGAACAGAGGAGGAACCCCAAAACCAGACGAAACCCTCACAGCACCCTCAACGGAACCCTTGAAGGGGCTCGGAGTTTGTTTGGGTTTCACGTTTAGAGTATAGGGCTTGCCGAGACCCCGAAACAGAGAAAACTAAGGTTCTGGACCAGGCCCCGCGGCGCCCCGCCCATCCCACCTCAACACCCTAAATCCTTTTCTCGGCCCTAAACCCCAAACCCTAAACCCATGGTCCTTCAGACCACCTAGTTCTAAAACAAACAGAATATCAAGATGGAGCTGTTTTAAACATGCAGCAAAGCCCATGCCATTTTTCCGAGCCCCGAAACCCCAAACGCCCTACCGCCGGCACCTACCTAGGAAGCCTGAACAAGGAAGCTTGTTTCTATGTTGTTTCTATGTGTGGAGATTTTGTCATATCATATTGGACTGTATGGATCCGCTCCAAACGAGATCTGCAGCAAAAACTACTTTCAAAAAGCCGATGAGCCCCCTCAAAAGCCCCCCCTAAACCCTATACCGTAAATCCTAAACCCCATAAACCCTATACCCTAAATCCTAAACCCAAAAAAAGAAAAACTCCATAAACCCTATATAAACAGCTTAAACCCAAGAAAGAAAACCACCCCTCCGCGGCCTGCTGGCTCTGCACCCCGAGCTCCTCCACACGCGCCCAGGCCCGCTCCACATCCACGCGGGCCATGCCCCAAAGGTTCGTCCAGGAGGGATCCTAAAGGGATAAGGCTTTAGGGTTTCGGGGTTTAGGGGTTTAAGGGTTTAGGGGTTTAGGGTTTAGGGGTTTACGGGTTTAGGGGTTTAGGGTTTAGGGGTTTAGGGATTTAGGGGTTTAGGGGTTTAGGGGTTTAAGGGTTTAGGGGTTTAAGGGTTTAGGGGTTTAGGGTTTAGGGTTTCGGCGCTCACACTCGGGCAATACAGGCGAGGCATGTGGTTCCGAGTCTGTTGAGTGAGACACATCTAGCGGGAGAGAGTTAGAACAACACTCGCGGTTTAGGGTTTAGGGTCTCGCCTCTAAAAGACACATAATAAGGCCTTATTTTTCCCTCCTACCTAGCAAGGGCTTCTTATAAGGCCTTAGGGTCTTAGGGTTTACTGAATGACCTTCGACTATGGGAATTATATGGCATATTCCTTGTTATGGGTAATGCAGGATTCATATCATCAACCGTAGGGTTTAGGGTTTAAACCCTCGTGGACGCATAATATAAGAGTTTAGTTTAGGGTTTAAGGATCTTCAATTTCTTGCTCTTCTACTTAGCAGCCTTAGCAAGGGCTAGGGACCTTCAATAAGGGTCTCGGGTTTCGATCCGAAGGGACACCTGATAAGGGCCTAGGGTTAAGGGACAAGTCATGATGAGGGTTTCGCTTTAAGGGGAGGGATCCTAAAGGAATCTTCAATAAGGGTTTTGTACGACATAATAGAATGACCAACGACAACCCTAAAGCTGACTCCTCTACATAGGCTACTTAGAGGCCCAGGGGACTTAGTAAGTAGGTCATAAGTAGGGTTATAAGTACCCTAAATGGAGTCACCCGATGATAACCCTACTTATAACCGACCTACTGAGTCCTGTGGGCCTCTAAGTACACGCATGCTATGCCAGAAACTGTCTAGAGAGATAGGCTCCCTACAAGACCCTTCTGCCAAGCGACGGCTTTGGGGTTTGAGGGTCAGGGGGGAGGATTTAAGGGACACAGAGGAGCATAGCGAAAGTTCGGGGTTCAGGAACTTAGGGGGGCAATCTTGGCTCCTTAAGAAGAGCCTGTAAGGTTAGGATTTCCGGGGTTGCTATGGGTTCGTAACTCAGGGCTCCTTTGTCAGGATCCTTTCAGTGCGCCGTTTACAAGGGCTCCCGAGCCAGGGCTCCTTAATCGACGTTTTCTTGTCTTCTTTGTCTTCTTATTGATTTCGACTTTTCTTATTGATTTAGGGTTCCTTTCCAAGGGTTCCTAGGCAAGGCCGGGGTTTGCTTTGAGGGTCTTGATCGGGCCTTTAGTCGGGGTTCAAGAAAGGGTTCTACCTGCATTTACAGGACTTACGGCTTCTTGTCTTCACAAAACCATGATGATATTGCCGATTCAAAGAACAACTAAGAAACAAAAGCACCAACATGGTGCAAGCGGAGAACGCCACCAAGGAGCAAGCACTGCAACAGTGCCAAGCAGCTACTACGTGCACGTCACATATAAACCAACCCTGTCAGGCTAATGTCGGAACGAAACCGACGAGACGAAGAACAGCTGAACATGATGCGGAGACGCCTGCTACGCCTGCCCACCGCTATACACTAGGACGGTCACTGGACTGTGAACATCTGCACAGGAGGAAGTGTAAATAATGAGAGAAGCCCTGAGTACGCCCTAAACCCGAGTGAGAGCCTTGAGAACGACCTCCCTTTGCCGCCATCTAACACCTCCATTGCACCCTGAACCTGCCATCGCCACGGGACATTCGGCGTCGCTGAGAAACCCGAGTCCAGCAGGTGCACCTCTCAGCATCGTTCATGCTGTGGAAGACAAGATCGAAGACTTCGGGTGCCACAGTCCACGGTGTTTTGGATCCTAGCTCGGTTTCGAGGAGGGATCTAGGCTGGACAAAGCAACTTTTGCTTCATGGACCTCGGGTTCTAGGTCTCGGCGCTCGATCGCAGGATTTCCCTGACACATCCCTGTATGTTTCGGTTGTCGGTATGTAGTCTCCTCCATGAGCTCGCTCGGTACTCGAATAATTATGTGCGAGTGCCTGCACGAACCCCCAAGCACAAGACGTCTGCACGAATGAAGCCTGGATGGAGGAACCGGGCAGCTAATTTTGGGGTTGCAGGCACGCGAACAAGGAGAAACGGTTGCTTCCCAAAAGAACGGGAGGCATGCGTTCGTGTTCATCCTGCATACCAGGAAACAAATTCTGGATCTTACCCCGCTAAACCCTGCACCCCCCAAACAGACACTAAGACATCTCCAGAGCTGGCTCCTGCCTTGAATTCAAAGCCTTAGGGGACTTAGGGTTTAGGGTTTCGGGGCTTAGGGTTTAGGGGTTTAGGGTTTAGGGGTTTAGGGTTTAGGGGTTTGGTATAAACGAGATCTCAACTATGCGCACCTTACTGCACACAATTCTGACTCAAATCACCACCGACCCGCTCCGGTCCCCTGAGCTTCAAGTAAAGTCAAGATCCCAAACCCCAAAACTCACCACTAAGAACCCGAAACCCTGAAGCCTGACGACCTGTGTAAACCCAAACCCTAAACCCTGAAGCTTTAAACCGTAAAGGGCCCTAAACCCAAGAACCCCGAACCCTGAAGCCCAAGAGCCTTCTGATCGAGTTCGACGAAGCTCAACTCGTGGCCGAACCGGTGCTTCACTTCGCCTGCGTGCGAATCTAGAGACTTAGAAGCTCTAGTTCGAGGCCCAGATTGGGGACTTCCTTACCAAGGGATTCATGATTCATACGCGTTCTATAAGGGAGATTAGGGTTACTTTAGGTGCAGGGGACTTATGAAGCAGGTTATAAGTAGAACTACACATACCCTCAATGGTGTTTTACCCCCAATTAACCCAAACCCTACCTAAAACGGACTTGGCAGGTCCCCTGGGCGTCCAAGTATCAGTATGTGGGGACTATGACAGAATGGAACTTTCATCTTTCTTTCGCTACGAGGGTCCTAGTTGTTCTAGGGTAAGTACACTGCACTATTGTAAATAGTGATCTGGCGATGAGCTGGGCAGTACCCTACATTGGGTTCTCTTTTGGTGGTTCGGGCTTGGAGATTGGCCCGCAGTCCGGCGGTGCTTAGCAACGGGACTTGCAAGTCAAACGCTTGAACGGGTTTAGGGTTTAGGTTTATTTCTCAGGACAGTTCTGCACTCGCGTCCCATCAGAGGTCCGAAATGCGAGGGTGGCTTTAGAAACAAGAAAACGACTGCAATCTGGAGATTCCGCGCATTTGGGTTGCTTCACTCTTCTGGGTACTTCTCTGTCAACTTCTTTCCGCACGAACCTTGCAGCTGCGGACTGAGGCATGCCCATCGCTCGATGTACATCGGATACATCTTCATGCTGATGGGAAGGTGCGGGCTGTCTTTTGTTGAGATCGGGAGGAGGCGTCTTATGAGCCGCGGTTGGCCGAACTTGGGACTCCAGACGATGATTGGCTAGCCGACCAAAGGCTCCAATGCAGTCACGGCGGACTGAAATTCAGCCCAAGGTCGCGAAGGTTCGCATTGCCACCTGCAGGATCTCGGACTTGGTCTTGGCATAGCGAGTCTCACCAGGGGCAAATCACGCACAAACTCAAACTGATGCTCTGACATGTATAGAATCCTATAAGGTAATCCCAAAGGAACTATTAAGGTAATGCCAAAAGGGAACTATTAAGGTAATCCCAAACAGGAACTATATAAGGTAGTCTCAAAAAAGAACAACTATGGGGCCTATGGGTATGTCCGAGCTTCGACTCCTCAACCTTTGCACGGCACTAACGGTCCCTAGTGGCCCTAACACTCGCTTCATCTCATATGTATGCAGGTATATACATATATCTACACATATGTATTCTATAAAAATACATATGGGTAGTTGTCAAAATTAGGGTCCCTTTTTGGGTACCCTAAATATTAGGTGCCGTACTATAATGAGGAGACAAAATGAAACCCTAATTTTGACAACCACCCATATGAATATATATATATATAGATAGATATAGATATATATATATATATATATATATACATATACACACACACACACACACCGCACAGACCCTGCACGAAAGACTGCAGCACTGGGCACTGCTCCCAAACTGTGCAAATGCCCCCACAGCATGTGAAGCCCCAAATCGGGCGCCTAAACTATACACCAAACTCCTCAAGAATCAACATCCGATCGGAACGCTAAGCCCCAAAGCCATCTCTCCCGAAAAGACCCCATGGAAGCCCAGAAAGCCAACCAAAGAATCCTCGATCCGGAGTCGAAGTACTCGAAAACCTCGAGAAGTTTTCCCGAATCCTTTGGAAACCCTCCGCCCGGCCCCGACGCTAAAGCCTAAACTCCCGAACCCGAAGTCGAAAACCTCATCTAGACCACAAACACCTTAACGACTTGTCCAATCTACATCCGTGGAAAATCAACAAGCTAGCTGTCAGAACAGCTAAACGGCTTCCCTTGAGAGCATCAGGGTTTAGGATTTAGGGTTTAGGGCTCAGGGTTGCTCTGACGAACTGACGAAATGACAGGCACGCCTAGCGTCTCTTCGGGCGTCTGCCCTGAGCAGTTTAGATCCTGGGTTCTTTTCGCGAGAGGGACGAAGATGGGGGCTTCTGGTTTCGGGCCTTTCTGTCTGTCTTCGGGTGGGGCTTGCTTCTTCATGCAAGGCTTTATGATTTAAGGTTTAGGGCGTTACCTGCTTTGGGTATGACTGACAACCAGCAGAACTAGCAATATAGTATCGCGAACAGAAGGGTCCTAAGCCCAGCAGGCGGCTTTCTTATCACACCAAAACCCGGATGCCCAGTGTGAGCACGGACCTTCATACTGAGCATTAGCAGTAAGCAGCAATGCTGGCAGGAGCTCTCAAAGCAATGACAACACAGGAGCTCTGCAAAATGTAGGTCATGAGAAGGCGACACTGATTTTCCCCGGAGTGATAAGCTTGAATATTTGTCTTCTGTACTACGTATATCCCGTATATCTGAAGCGAGCGGGGAAATGGGCAACCAGCGACAGCAATCTTGGGTTGCACATGACAAAAGTTCAGTTCAGTCTCAGTGAAACACCATTCGTTTAGGTTCCCATGCTTGCAGGTTCCCATACTTACAGCACAGAAGCCTACGCCCTTCCGTCAGCCTTGAAAGTCAAAACCCTGAATCCTGGTCTAGGCGCTTCGCAAAGAGTGTCAAGCCTGGTCTGCAGGCCGGGCCAATTTCTGCAAGCTTAGGAGTGTAGGATGTAGGGTTGACAGGGTTTCGGGTTAAGGGTTTAGACTTAGGGGTGTAGGGGATTAAGGTTTGTTAGGGTTTGGGGGCAGGGCTTCGGGGCATTGTCGGATTCTCGCTGCTTTAGCCTACGATTTTGAGGCTCGGGAAGACAGCTGTGTCGATGATCTTTCGTGGTAGAGAGGTCCTAAACCGAACCCATGCACAAGAACCTTGCAAGATAATCATGTTCCTTTGCCGAGGTGCCACGATGTCCAGGTCTAAGTTCTGAAGGTGATGCCACCGGACAATGGTGGGCTCCTTGCACTCACTAAATCTATGTTGTCGTTGCTTGGGGCTTCGTTCTTCTGGTCTTACAGCACTGATGGAACGAACGGGCGCAGTCTGCAGAAGGACTCGCTTGTCGTGGTCTCCTGTCAGAAGATGCCCCGCGGCCCATTGAAGGATTGCTTTCTGAAACTGTAGCTACAGAGCATTGAAGGCACAAACAACACGACTACATGCACGCACCAGGCACCGGTGTCAAAACCCCATAATGCAAACGCCAGGATGTTAAGAAAATCGAATCATGACTTCTTCTCGTCTCGCTCTCTCCTTCGGTCTCGCTCTCGCTCTCTCTCGCTCTCGCTCTCGCTCTCGCTCTCGCTCTCGCTCTCGCTCTGGCTCTGGCTCTGGCTCTGGCTCTCTCTCTCTCTCTCTCTCTCTCTCTCTCTCTCTCTCTCTCTCTCTCTCGCTCTTCTCTCTACATATACATGTATATATAATATGTTAGACATACAGTCACATGGCCCTCAACCCTCTCAAACCCTGAACCAATCATACCCCTCTCTCCTGTCTCTCCGTCTTTCTCCCTCTCCAGCCCCCGAGCTCCTCTGCGAGCCTCCGGTAAGCTTTCCCGGCCTGGCCACCTGCCAGAGTTCGGATTTGGAGAGGCTTCGCCTGGGGTTTAGGCATGAGGGTTGCATAGGGTTTAGGGCTTAGGGTTTTAGGGTTTGGCTCGTGTTTCTGCCTCCTCACATCGTGTTGCCGTTCCTTTCCACCTCCCGACAAGTGCACCGCGTGTTCTGGAGTGCCAAGGTGCAGCCTATCGCGCATCTTCGACGGGGTCTGGGGTTCGTGGGCTTCCAAGCTTCTGAATGAACAGCTGTCGTATTCCTTAGGGCTATAGTTGTTATGATTCGACTATAATACGCCTTAAGAGCTCAAAAGCCCTACTCCAGTTCTCAATGGCGTCTATGACCAGTTTAGGAGGGAAGCTCAAGTATGACGCTTTGCTGTCAGGCGCCAGTTGAGCTGTCTGGTTTTGGTCTATCGGCCTTGATCCTTGGCTTTGGGTTTAGGGCTCGGCATATGCAGCCTGTCGAGCTGAATTGAAGAAGCTACTTTCAATCGGAAAGGGGCGAGGTCCATTCCATTCGAAACCTTGCGCAACGCTGTTTAGCAAGGTGTAGGCCTGCAGCCACAAATAGGGGCCTCAAGAAACCCCAACGAACCACATTGCTGGTATGTTTTTGCCTACTCAGGCCCCTATATACAATACAGCCTTCGCTTCGGGCCCAAGGCCTTGGGGCCTTTGGGTTTAGAGGCTTAGCGGTTAGCCTAAACCCTAAACCCTAAACCCTATACCCCAAACCCCAAAACCCAAACCCTAAACCCTAAACCCTGTGCTTGGGACTTGGGGAGCGAAATCCGGGGAGCGAAGCGAAGCGCCTGGTTGCCGCCACCGCAGCAGGAGCCTGCGCCCCGCTCGCACTTGGGGGCCCAGGGGATTTAGTAACTAAGATTCTGCAGAATCCTTAGAGGGTTCCTTAAAGGGCTCTTTAAAAGGGATCTATGATTCTGGTATAAGGAAGAGTTCTACGGTTGCTTGAAGGCTCAGAGGACTCAGCAAGTCGGCTACAAGTAGGGTTATAATTTGGATACTTCCATCTAGAGTACTTGTAACTCGACCTACAACCTACAGAATAACCGCTACATTGGTTGGCCTGAATAGGAGGCCCCCTCCCCATTTTGAAGGTATCCCTTCGCGTCCGAACCCAGAAGCCTGCACCCAAGCTCGAGGACCCCAAGCCTTCAGACATGGGCCCAAAAGCGAAAAAGAAACAAAAGCGAAGCGGGAATATGGGGTTTTAGCACTCACTCTCGGACGTACCACAGCGAGGATTCCCAGTCCCAACAACGGCACATTGGCCACCATCCCAGCGGAATATAGGGTTTAGGGTTTAGGGTCCTGGGGCGGGGTTTGGGTTTTTTTGGCGCTCATACTCGGCAATGAGGTCTGTAGAGAGACTTCAGTTCGACGGGTGACCATGCCATACACCTATGGTGCATAGCCTGCGTACGCTTACAGAGCTTGTCATTGCAAGCTCGACAACCGCTGTCATGTCAGCATTCCTTCGTAAGCCAGAAGCAGCTAGCAACCATACTCTTATGTTGACATGACAGCAGACTCACTGGAGGGTTTAGGGTTTGGGGTTTAGGATATTTCGGGATTAGGGTTTCGAATTCATAGCACTCAGGTTCAATTGTCATGGCAGCAGAACCGCCAGGACTACCACCGTCACCCGCTGCGCTAGACGCTTCGACGACTACAAGAAAGAGCCCGCCCCTCACGGCCTCGATGTACCGTTGCACAGCGAGTCCTCCGCGGTGGAAAAACTTCTAAACACTAAACTCCAACAATGTCTGTCCTGTGTATGGAAGTAACTATGGATGTACGCATGCATTCATGCATGTATTATGTATATACATGTCGCAACGCTTTTTTTGAGACCTGCTGCGACCATTGCTATTTCAGCTGGCACTACCATTTCGCTACCATGCTGTTGCTGCTGTGGTGGTGGGTGGTGGGGCTGGTGCGGCTGGTGTTGGGGTCGCGAGAGCAGGGGTAGTAGGGAAGGTGGCGATGGTATTCTGCCATTTCTGCTATTACTAGCACCGCTCCATGAGGAAAGCTAACTATGCTTGGAGCCTTGCTGAAGGATTGAACTTCTCCCGACAGCGCTGCCAGCCGACGGGTGCCGCTCTCCGTCCCCTTCCTGGCAAGGGTTCAAAGCTGTCGAAAGGTTTTGGGTGGCTTCAGGGAGCATAGACAGGTTTCGACACACACACACACACACACACACTCGCACGAGGCAGGCACGGACAGACAGGCTTGGGTTTAGGCAGAGTTTCCCGCGGAATTAAGGCTCTGTATTTTTGTGGATCTCGGCACTGCGCCTTGTGGATCCTACGGGTTCGATGACTTTTCACGTTTTGGGTTTGCCTTCCGGCTCCTCAACACTCGAACCCCACTATCGCCCTCTTCCTGGATGCATGCCTGGTTCGTAGCATGCTGCAAAACCTGCAGCACTGCCCTCGGCAGCCAGAGTGCCAAGTCTTAGTAGGCGTGCAACAATCAAAAGCCCCGGGTCCAGACCAAAACAAACCCCAATCAACCCCGAACCCATGCAAGCCCTACGACCGACTAACTGCTGAACCTTGAGGGGACCCTACACCTTATCGGTGCAAACTGCGAACTCAGCCTGCTAAGAAACCACGAACCCAACACTTCTGGGTTATATCCAAGTTCCTTTACCTTAAAAGGTCTATAAGTGATTTAGAAGGCAAACCTGGACCCCAAAAATATGTAGAATAATAGCCCTTTAGAGGGTTTGAACCATTATTTTACCTACCTTCGGAGGTTCAGGTAGGCGCCCCTAAACCCGAAACCAAGCTCAATGCGGCAAGGGGCGACAACTCGAGCTGCACGGTGATGTCGGAGGCCGTCCTTTTTACGAGCAATGCCAAACTCGAACCCGAACTGCTCTCGTTGTCTATGGGTTAGGGTTCAGGGCTTCCGAAACCCTAAACCCTAGACCCTCAACCTAAGGGTTCGAACAGGAATACCATCACGGCTCTATAACAGGTACTCCGAGACTTGCAAAGGGCATCGAATGGTTTACGGTTCTAGTGATTTCGGTCTAGGGAATAAGATCTGGAGAGCGGCTTTCGGGGCAATGCTTCATGGGAGTTCTCCGGGGTGTGACTTTGAACTTGCAACGGTTGCTATGGGGACCTTCATAGTTTGAAGAGAGTTTTGGGGCATATGTAGCACACTCATGATAAGGAACTCTGAGGAATCATCTTGGTACTTATGTAGGCTTCTGTATTCTGGCAGTTGTTGGCCAACGCACAACTTTTCGTGCTACTCGCTGCGACTATTCCTCTGGCTATCGTTGCTATCAGGTTTACGGTTGAGGGTGTTTACCTCCTACTACTTGGGAGTTTCCGAAACTTAGGGATACTTTAAATTAGGGCCCTTATAATAAGGAGCCTACTATTTTGGATATTATTTAGGGTCCCCTATTTTTGGAAACTCCCACTTATGGCCGGTCATGATGACATAAGCAATGTTGGTATATAGAACAAGTGGCCTCGTGCGACCGTTCCCTAAAGCGCTTTGATCAGCATTGCCATGGCTCCGCTTGACAATGATCGACATCAGAATCACTTGAATGGGAACCCAACCCTAGACCCTAAACCCGCGCCATAGGCTTCCGAGGAGGCACGGGTTCTCGAGCGTGATGTTGCGATGGATCACCCCTGGAGCTGCAAAACGGTGTAGGGACATGGAGAAACCCGAACTTCTCTCTGATCTCTCTAACACACCTACACTTCAACCGCAAATCCTAAACCCCCAAACAGCGGGCTAATACGGGGGGGCCTTCTTTGGTGCCCATGGTACTATAGCTATAACAAAGAACCCCCAAAATAGTATAGGTGATGATATTTCTCTCTCTCTCTCTCTCCCTCCCTCCCTCCCTCCCTCCCTCCCTCTCTCTCTCTCTCTCTCTCTCTCTCTCTCCTGTCTCTCTCTCCTCCCTCTCTCTCTCTCTCTCTCTCTCTCTCTCTCTCTCTCTCTCTCTCTCTCTCTCTCTCTCTCTCTCTCTCTCTCTCTCTCTCTCTCTCTCTCTCTTTGCCGAAGCCCCTATATTATACTGCTGCGGTTTTAAGGATCCTGGGCTTCCCAGAACGGCCTCCCAAGCTGGGTCCAAGAGATCCTGCTTCCCGAACATAATATGCAAGGTGTCGACTTCAACAGTCCCCAAAACTACTTATAATTAGGGCTTTGTATATTAAACAATAAGGGAAAGTAGACAATATCCCAAATCGATAGGTTTTTACTTCGATACCTAGTATAGGAGTCTGAATTGTTAGAAGAAGGCCTTGTGGTCTGCTTACATTCTGGCTTCGCCAGGTCAGTAAATCTCTGAATCTCGAGCCTGGAAGCGGGCCTGAAGAAATAGAACGGTGGTTTCGGGCCATAAATCATTAGAAGTATGCTGGAAACCCCAAGGAATGGTTGCACCAATTGCTTAAATTGCTCAAGCCCTTTGTACAAATGTTGGAATCGTCTGGCTCTCATGCGCCCAAAGCCGTGAGCACCCGAAACGACGCCTCAACCCCTGGCAGACTGTCGCATCGCGAGCTCGAGACCCCCCAACCTATGAATCGAAATATCAGACACGTGTCGGGCTTGACCTCACAATCAATATATATATATATATATATATATATATATATATATATATATATATATATATATATATATATATATATATATATATATATATATATATATACCATATATACATATATACATATATACATATATACATATATACATATATACATATATACATATATACATATATACATATATACATATATACATATATACATATATACATATATACATATATATATATATACACATATATATATATATATGTTGTTTATATGCAATGGACCCTAAACCCGATACCTTCGACCCTAAACCTGAAACCCTACCAAGCGTTCGATCCCCAAGCCTGCTTTCGCTAGCGATTCGACTCATGGGTCTTCACGCCCTGCTTAATCTCACAGCTCCCGCTGTCACAAGCTACCAACCCTGTGAAAACCCTACGGGGGTCCCCCCTAGGGTTTCGGGACTAAGGACTCGACTGCAGCTTGCTCCCGGAACTCGACATCCTTGCGCGTAAAGCCTTACTGAAACCCTAACATCACGAACAGTTCAAACATACCCCCAAACCACAAGACTCAACCAAACCCTTAAGGCTCGAAAACACCCCAAAGGCCTGAAACCTTAAGAAACTTCCAAAATGACCCGAAGACACCGTCAGCACTATCACACTGATACAAAAACTCCATGCCAAGGACGCCTGGATGAGCGGAGAAGGCGCTGATGCTGTCTGGGCTGACCACCAAACCTTCCCAGAAAGCGAGACAAACAGTAAACAAAACCCTCAACCCTTTTTTGCGGCTGGGCTTCTAGTGTCAGCCCCAAACTACAAACCCCTAAGCCCCTAAACCCTGAACCCTAAACCCCAAGAACCTAAACCATTTTGAGCTGTTTCTCGGAGGTTTGTGACAGCGGCCCCAGGATCTTCGAAGCCTTCGAGGCCTGATCGAAATGAAGAAGACTCCTTGCACTATATAAGGTGCTGTGAGAGATTATACTATAGGTACACCAAGGAACCCCAATATAGTAGAGGTAGTTAGTCCACCTAAACTAAAAGGCCTTTAGTGTCTCAGTCTTGGCCTCGCGAGAGGCGCTTCGGCAGTTTTGGGGCTTTGGGGCTCATGGGAGTTTCCGAAAATAGGGGACCCTAATCTAGTATCCTAACTAGTAGGATCCTTATTATAAGGATCCCAAAATGTGGTTCCCCTAATTTCGGAAACTCCCTCATTGCTTAAGGCCCAGGATTTCCTGGATTCTAGACAGAGTTCTATAAGGGGTTTGACCAGGGCTTGCACTTGGGGGAGTCGGTGCGGTTCGCTTTTTAGTCGGTTTCAAGCGATGGAGTCTAGGGTTTTTGCAGCTAAGTAAGGTTTAGGCTTTGGCTTTTGGGGGCAAACCTAGAGATCTTGAAAAAGGGAGTGGTCAGGCAAGCACGAACACGCAAGAAATGAAGAGAAGCATATCGTGACCAGTGACCAACGCTATCAGCACCATCATCAACATGCAGGCTATTTCGTCTCAACTCCGAAACATACTCTTGATGCACTGTTCGTGATTTCTCCTGCAAGGCCACAACTTTAAAACCGTACCGGCACGATGATACATCATCGATGCGTCCTTTGCATCTCGCACTCAAACGTTAGAGCTTAAACATTCAATCCATTTCAGCCTTAAGCCAAAAACATTACGCCCTAAATCCTGGTTCTAAACCCTTCTGAGCCCTGGACCAATCTCTTTAGGCATGAAACCCTCAATCATAAGCATTAGGCCATTAAGCACCAAACCCTGAAGCCTTCTGAACCCGAAAGCTCGGAGGCCTCACAAGCTAGAAAATGAAGGTAGGTGGGATTCAGGATCCCTTACATAAGGACTCTTATTTGGGAATATCCCACCTACCTTCATCCTACCTTTTGAGGCCCCCGAAAAGCAATCTCTACAGGCATGCAGGCGTGGGCCTCTACAGAGCTCGAGGATGCAAAGGGAAACCAGGCAGCGAAGATCCCAGTGCCATGGCCCAAGCATAGGGCTTAGGGTTTAAGGGTTTAGGGTTTAGGGTTTAAGGGTTTAGGGGCTTAAACGGTTTAAGGTTTAGGGTGAAAACTTAGGCGAGTTTGTCTTTGAATGGGGTCCTTTAGGCTTTGGTGAATTGTGAAACCTGCTCCTGTTGTATACTCCTGTTGAGATGGCCCCTTCTGGGCTACGGCCTGGCATCAGGCCTTAGTAGGGTTGGGCATCGGGTCTGTGGCGCTAAACCCTAAACCCCAAGAACACTAAAGTCGCCATGTTGTTATCTGAGGTTTAGTGACAAGACCAATCGCATGCAGCATGCACCAAATTTGTCTGCTACGATCGTGATACATCATCCGCCTTTCTAGGTGACGAAGTTTAACACGATACCATAAACATACATCGAATCTCATGTCATGGCTCTCTTTTGGCGTTGTGTCGCTTTTAACGGTATGAGGCTTGGGTTTAGTTAGGGTTTAGGGTCAAGGGCCCCGGTGTTGAGGGCTGGGGGTTCATGTGGCCCTATATGAATTCTGAATCCCTCGAGCCAGGGATGCAATTTGGAAGATCTCAGGATGCTACCCCGCAGTCCAAAAAGCTGAAGCCCCAACAATGAAAGACCCGGGCCACCCAGTCCCGAAACATCGGCCTAAGGGTTCAGGGTCTTGGGCTTGAGGGCTTAGGGGTGCAGGGCTACAGGGCTTTAGGGTTTCGCCGTTATGGTTCATTGCATCCTGATCCGGAACTGTTCAACACATCGGCACCCTTGCTACCACACCTCTGCAGAAGCGGCATCGAAAAACTATGAAGTACACCTTTCGCAGTTCTGACGACTGGCCGACCGAAAGGCCACTCCTTCCTGATGCTGAACCGACCTCGCCATGCCTGAAACCATGGTTCGGGCCCGAGGTTTGGGGATAAAGCTGTGAGGCGAGAAGAGCTCATTTTCCAAGAAGCTGCAGTGTCGAGTTTCGCCATGTGGTTTGATGCGCACCGGGGCACTCTGCATGAACCTCATTGAGCCCGAGATAGGCAAAGCCAGCAAGAGGAACCGACAACGTCATTTGCCCTAAGCTGATGCAATATCTCGAATGAAAACACTAATGGACCTCGTGTCAAACTGCTCCGGACATCTTCGGACGAGGAGTCTCAGGCATGATCTTCCAAAAAAGGACGGAGCATCTGTACGCATGACAGATGTGACCTACCCCCGACGCAACCGTGCAGCAAGCGTGCCTGGGCATGAATAGTTTCACCTCTTGTATGCTCAAGCGCACCCGACAGAAGCAAAAAGCTATATAAGCCGCCCTAAACCTTAAACCTTGAACCCTACTGCAACGCCTGCTAGGCCGGCTCACATCCCTAAAGCTGCGCACAAGGCTCCTAAAGCAAAACGCCTCAAATCCTGAAGCCCGTACCTTGAAAGCTCAAAAACCTCAATCTGTTACACCCAACAAAGCCCAATAACAATACAAGCCAAAACCGACGCCCGAAGGCGTTGCTTGGCCCTACAGACCTTGCAATCTTTCAAAATGTTGCATCGCTGAGGGCTGCAGCCGAAACCCTTGCAATGTTAAGTCCTGAAGCCACGAAAACCTCAAATCGACAGAGTGGCTCTAGATGAAATAGTAGGTGTAACAATAGAAAGACTACAGTTACTTTCCCGGACCCCCTAAACCCTAAAGGCAGGCGGCTCAGGCTCAACCGGAAATCTTCGGTGGTCGCCCATCCGGCTTGCTGCGTCCATGTGGACGCACGAAGGAAACCTTAGTTGCTGAGTTCATAAGCCCCCAAGAAAGTGTAAACTTTCAGTTTTATAGTGGGGAATATTATCCCAACAAGTGTAAAAACCCTGATCCCTAAACCCTATCCACTCAGCTGTTAAGAAACTGACCGGACGCCAGGTCCGTGAAGGACCACCCGCGGCCCATCTTCCAGTGGCAGGCGTCTGTCGAAGTAGTCCTGAGGATTGAAATTTGGGAGTTTCCGGAAATTTGGGTATTATGGGGTCCTTATAATAAGGATCCTACTATTTGGGGTGATCCGTTTGGAGGAAACAGTGTGAGGTTACGAAAGAGTTTAGGGTTTGGCCTTCAGGCTTTAAGGCGTTTGTCGAAGTAGTCCCCACAACGTATCGGCGCCGCCAGCCAGCTCAGTAGCGGGTGCAGGATTCAAGGGACTTGGAATCGCTTCGAACACGAAATCAAAACACAAACCATGAACCGTTGAAGGGCTTAGGCTTTGCGAGACGCAAGTCCCCTAGTACGATTTCTTTTGGAATCAAGAGACCCCGAATAAAAAACGCAAAAAGAGTACTACGCGCGTATGCTGGGTGTCCAGGAGGCCCCGTCGCTGCAGCAGGCAGAAGTACTTGTGGTAGGTGCGGCATTTCCAGACCTAGTCATCACGGGGCCGTCGGATTTGAGGGTTTGCAGGTTTCGGCGTTGGGGGGTTGAGGGGTCAGCAACGCTAGATCACGCAGCCCCTGTGCAAGACTGCGTCAAATCCTTGCAACCCCTTGTGCGAAAAAAAGCAATCAGACTGCATATGTCTTCTACCCATAAAGCCATAAAACAAACAAATCAAAGCACCCCGACCCGAGGCCGCAATGAACCCAAAAATGTCACGACCTCTGATCTACTTTCCTCGAAGGGCGGCCTTCTTGTCCATGTCCACTACCGCCTGCTGCAAGCGCATGGGCAGCTTCTCTACATCGACAGCTTCAGCACCGCCCTCCTTCTCCTTGGATCGTAAAAGATTCGGTTGAGCTGAGCGCAAGCTTTCTGAGTGTATGTCTCGGCGGTGCACTGCAATGCTGAACGATTGCATGATGCAGCAAAGGCTCCTTCTGTCGTGTCTTCTTGTTCTTCGACTTGCGAGGCGGCGGCGCAAAGTGTTGGCTCCAGCGGTCCGAAATCTCGGACCATTCTGCCCTCAGCTTCAGCTCGCGCCACACTTGATCCAGCAGGTCCCGGCAGAGCAAGTCTTCCGAAATCCACTGAGCAAGCGCTTCAACTCGCCGCAGCTGCTTCATTGCATTCGCCACCAGCTCGCGTGCTCTTGTCAACACTTCGTCTTCGGTGTCGCCGAAATGCAGCATCTGCTCGAAGTCCCGTTCGCCCACGTCCAGCAAAGACTTCGAATCAATGCCATGTTGTGCCAATGTGTCTGTCGCGAAGACTTGTGCTGCAGATGAAGTGGCGAAAGCTTCCCCAGTGTCCATCAATGTTTGCTGAAGCACCCTGTCTTCGTCACACAACGCCGGTGGAAAAGAGAATGGGAAAACCGCACTTCGCCCTAGATGCGTCACATCATCGGTCCGCAAGCCTAGATTGAGCTCGTCTGAAACCTGCAGGATCTTCTCAACCATATCAGCATCGTCCACCATGACGACGGTTGAAGACTGCGAGTATGGGTGCTCGGCATCAAAGGAGCCCAAGTTCTTGCCAACGAAAACTACAAATTCCATGCGCTGTGCCTTTTGTATGTACCGCTGCAGCTCGTCGTCCGTTGCCGACGGAGACCTTGTCACTATATCCTACCTAGCTGTGCGGTAGCCCCAGGGCACAACAGCCAAAACGGAAGCCCCCCCACCTTTTGATCAGCTGCTGCCGGTAGTTTGGAGGACAGCCGCTCGCTTGGCTGCAGGACATGGCAATGGCACCGGGGCTTTCCACGGAGACGGACAAGTGCACGCCCTGGCAGACGTCGATGGCACCTCCAGGCTGGACCTTGAAGCAGGGCCTTTACATTTATGAAGAACCTACTACTCTGGTTAGGATCTAGTACGACCTGAGATTGTATACACGGCAGTTGAAACAGGAGCTGCACTTGAGGGCTCTCGAAAACCTCCAAACTTTGCACAGTTTGCGAATGTAGGTGGAATCAAGCACAGCACACCAAGCTACATTGGGTTACAGGCCCGAAATCAGAAGCAAATCAGAAACGTTGAAGTGCTAGCCTACTCAGGCAGTCCAAGAAACCCATGGGCAAATGATCCGACGGTCCTGGTAGAAAGTAGCATCAGGGATCGGATACGCCAAGAAGTCACATGGATAGAGAAACCGCTCTCGGGAAGTTGCGAAGCGGCGGTGCTCTGATACTGTTGCTGAGATGTACAGCGGGAAACTGCATCCACATGACGTGATCATTGCACGGTCACGATCAATGCGTGTGAGATATGTTGGACTGGGCCCCAGGGTGTAAGCAATCAGCTTCTGCAGGGCCGCAAACTCCCGCTCATTGATGATGTGCCGCCGGCTGCTCAAATACCAACCTCGGCTGGCACAGAAGCGGCTGCGCCCCATCAACCTGTCGGCAAGTATATATACTGCCAGCCGGGCCTCGGCGGGCATCACCCCTTGCAGTGCTTTGCTGATGGTCCTCTTCAGGTCATCGGTGCTATGTAGAAAATCCGTCCAGTACGGCGGGTCCACGTGCTCCTTGCCATTCTGCCAGTGAGGCACCGCTGTCAGCGACGTCCGAGCCAGCAGAGTGCGAGAGCCTTCCCACTTGTCCAAAGCAGCGCTAAGACTCTGCCATTCCTTCTGGCTCGGAGGGGAAGATCCCTTGCAAAGCACACGCGTCTAGCAGACTCTGCCGAGATTCCTTCTGGCTCGGAGGGGAAGATCCCTTGCACTCGCTCAGGGCCATGGCGCCACACGCGTAAAACTAAGCATGCATACTCTGCGCGCTGTATAAGCGAGGAGTCCGCCCCCCCCCCCCCCCCGCAAACATCAGAGCAAGTACCACAGTGCGGCATGTAATTTGGCGCGCGTCACAGCAAACTCTAAAGCCTAAACTGTGAACCAAGCAATACTTTACTGCCTGTCTTTATGTCTTTACGGACGCCCGTGTTCAGCCTGCAGTCCAAAGAAAAAGCTCACGGCTCATCAGATCTAGGAATAGTGCCATGTTTACTTGGAGGCTCCGGGGACTTCGTAAGCAGGCTAGCTACCGATCTATCTATCTACCCATATAGTATGTATAACTATGTGTATATATATACAACAGATATGTACATATATATATATATATATATATCTGTATGTATGTATATACTTGTTTATTTGCTTATTCATTTATGTTTTGTAGGTGTATATATGTATATATATATATATATATGTATCTATATATATCTATACATACATCTGCAAGAATGTGTTCAAAATAACCCCGATCAGTGTTGGACATGGGCACATTCCGAGATCCTGTGCGCATTGAGGGTTGCGGCAGGAGCACTTGAAGGGTTCCTTAAAGGGTTCCGTAGAGGGTTCCTTATAGGGTTCCTTATAGGGTTCCTGATAGGGTTACTTAGAGGGTTACTTAGAGGGCTCCTTAAAGGGATCTTTGAAAGGGATCAGTAGTGGTCCTATGAGGAGGAATTTTAGCGTTACTTGGAGGCCCAACGGGCTTCGAAAGTCGGTTATAAGTAGGGCTTTAATTGGAGTGACTCTATTTAGGGTGCGTATAACTCTACCTAAAACCTACTTTCCAAGTCCCCTGGATTCGCTGTCACGGGATTTTGTGTTGGGGTTTGGCCTATAGAGGGTTTAGGGCTTAGGGCTTAGGACTCAGAGGGTCTAGGGCTTCGGGTTCAGATATAGGTTTTGCCGGTTTTGCGCTATAGGTGTCTTCATGCTCGGGCTTGTTATTGGGGTCTCAGAAATTAGAATGGGGCTTGGCCTAGTACCCCAGTATCGTACTGCATGCTTCTAAGGCGACTGTACAGGGAAACAACTGCTAAATATTCAGACCTGGATGGTCGTAGATATGAATACTAACCACCCCAACACTGCAAGTGCTCTCGAAGATAGCTCTCAGCGAATCACCTGACGATGAAAACCACGCTTGCTGTAGGATCAGGAGACTGCGTAACAGCTGAGATTTACTTAGCGTGTTTGTCCTTATCTCATCAGAAAGCCGACATATAACTACTTGCCAACACTCAGTCCGGGCAGAGGAGGGTTTAGGGCCTAGGGCTCATGTGCAAAAAGTGTGTGTGCCATCTTAGCATGACATGATATAGGATTTTCATTACGGTTCTCCCCGTAACATTATAGACCCAGCCTCTCTCAAAATCGAACCCCTGACAAACCCTAAACCCTACGGGGTCAGGCACCTAGAAGAGAGCCCTGCGAGAAGACTTTAAACCTCAGTTCGATGCCCTCAGCTCTCGCTTTACCTAGGCATCTTGATAGCCAATTGCAGCTAGTTTCAATAGGGTTCTGGCTCATCATGGTAGAGATCTTAAGGGACTAGAATCTTCGGGTTTTTGGGTGTGTTTTGGACCTCACAACCCTTGGCTTCCCGTCTGCTGCACTTCAGGTTTTTGGGCTCTCTGCATTTGGGACGATGTGTATTCATGGTTTTCGGTGGCTTGGGCTTTACGGGACTTTCGGCTTCGTCTGCAGCTGCCTACAAGCTAAACTCTTGCACAGGCCGGAACCGCCGGGCCCTTAGGCGCAGTGCACTCTGCCTCTTCGCTTCTGCGTTCTGACGTGGCGACTTGAAAATCCTGGCCAAGCTGAGTCGGAGCTGCATCCTGTGACTCGACCAGGTCATGTACACGGGGGCCCAGCCCATCGCCTACGGCCGCACAGTCTTTAAAAGTGTGTTAAATGTCGGCAGGTGAGAAAGCTAAACTCGAAACCCGTTTATGTCGAAGGCTTCGACACGTTTGCTTCGGAAAAGCATTCCGAGGATGCTTGCAGCGCCCGCAGACAAGCCCTGCAAAGCCTCAAAGTTGTTCCGGTCCAATCCATACGCCAGGGTGTATGCTTGCTGTGAAGCCTCTTTGTTTCCCAGCGCGTCGAAGGCCCTGGCAGAAAGGATTGCAACATGAGCAGCTTGCTCCAAAAGCTCCGAAGCAGCAAGCCGGTCTGCGAAGGCTAGGTAGGACATGGGGTCTGGCTGGAACCGAAAGCCCAGAGCTGCTTTGAACAAGGACTGCGCGTCAAGAGCAGATGCTTCACGGCTCTGCAGGCAGCGGATGGCTTTATCCAGAAGTGCTGGAGGGAGATCACGAAATTTGACTTGTAGCTCGCTGTGGAAAGCCGCTAGAACCAGCGCAGCACCCTGCAACCAAACTCCTGGGGCTTCGGCACTCAGTGAAAGCACAAATTGCCACAGCTTCTCGAGCGATTGGGGCAAACAGTGCGCCAGTCTGGAGGCAAGCTCCCGTTCCAGAATATCTGCATGTATCAAGGACCCTCGTCGCCGCGCGGCAAGATGCATCCACTCCATTTCTGATCACAGCAGTAGGACAATAACGGCTCAGCATCCCAAGCGCTGAAGTTGTCAAGCAACTCCCGCATCGGAGTCTGAAGAAGAATGGCCTTCAGTTCCTGCAAGGCATTGCCCTGCAGTGCTGAAGGGAGGTTGGCCCTCAACCGCAGCACTTTCAGCAGCTTGCCCCGCACAGCTGTCGGCAGTTTGCAATCAGGCACACAAGGCTCAGGGCGGATGAGACTTTCAGCACGCACGAGTAATGACCGTGCATCTGCAGCTGGGAGATAATGCGCAATGGCAAAAATCTCCTCAACGACTCGCTCCATGAAAACGCGGATGGAAGCCTGTTGGAGGACATTCGGGATGACCTGCAGCCAAGGGCTGTGAGCTTATTCACAGTACCACTGCCACGTTAGACAGTGTTCGTTGCCTACTCTGCCAACCTGTTCCTCCATGGTATGTACACTTGCGCTTTTACCGCTGTATGCACGGATACTCGACACGAGTGCACACCTATACTGCTGCATGAACCTGCTTTGCAAAGGTACAGATGCATTGTTCCAAAGACTTGCCAGGAGCACGCTACCTGCCCCCTGCCAACCACCAAGACAGAACATGGGAAAGCACTGAAACAGCTCCGTCGAACGCAAAGAGGCCACTTCTTGCAAGTTGCCATGCTGCATGAAAAGTTGAAGTTCTCCAGCACTTTCTCCGGATCTTCAAGAAGAATTCGAATCCAAAGGCCACTTAACGTCATATGGGCTATAGCATGCAAAGCTTGCAAAAAAGCCCGGCAATCACGAAAACGACCAGGTGCCTTCCTCCCCATTGGCAGATTCGTCTTCGGGCTGCGCTCACGATGTCCCAAGGCAGATTCGATGGCCTCTCGCTCGTAAGTGAAGCCGTCCTGTGCAACTCTGAAACGCGTTGACGACTCTGGTTTCGGGATTTAGTTTTGGGTTTTTGGGCTCTTGCTAAAGAACTAACTTAAGATAACATAATCGTAGACAATATGGTTTCCTATGCAGGGCAACGAAAAATTCCTTGACAAAACCCAGGTTTGTGTTTCGGATTTCAGGTGTCTGGTTGCGTGTACATCGTGCGCCCTTGCCTTTGACACCTTTGCCCTGAGACTGAATTCCTTCAGCGAGAACCCACACCCTCCGGGTTTTTCAACCCAGCCGTATGGAAAGCTCGCTTTTTCGTCTCCCACCGCTATGGCATAAAGATAAGACCCTAAATGCTAAACTCTATAAACCTGAAGCCGAAAGTTATAAGAAGTCGAAACTGCTCCGGGATGAAGCCATACAGCGGCCCGGCCCAGTATAGACCCTCAACCATTTCTAAACTTCCCATGTTCACGGTGCCGGGCTTTTCTTGATGCAGCCCCGGAGGTGCCTCTGTGTCAAGCAGCTCGACATTTTGGGGCTTGTACCTAATTGAGGTTATCCTAACCTAAACCCTACTCATAACCTAAGTACCGAGTATCCTGAGTCTCCAAGTAACTATCTGTGGCGTCCTCAGATAAACCTACGGAGAGGAACCGAGTTGAAGTAGGTCTTGCAGGAAGACTACTTTTGTGAGGGTTTAGCATTGTGGGGCTGTCCTGATTATTGGAGTCTAAAGGGGGGATTTATGGTCATGCAGCAGTCATATCATGAATATTGTGCTGAAGCTGCTGCTGCAAGCACGCACTGCTCTCCTCTGCCACGACTGGCTGCCTCATCAAATCCTGATTGATAGGACACACGAAGTCGTCGGGATCTGTCAACAGGCGGCGAACCTGACGAAACACCGTCTTGGGATTCCCATTGCTCCAATAATTATCAAATCCTTTGGACAGGAATCCCATACCAAAGACTTAAAGAGCCTTGAACTTGTCCTCTACTTTAGGGAGGAGCCCTGACTCCTTCTGATTTCCGCAAATTAGGGGTTGCGCCTAGGGGGTGGTAGGCTCTCCGGGTTTTGGGTCTTCGGACCTTTGAAGGGCGATCCTAGCTACAAGCATCCTGGCCCCACATCCGCACAAACGGCCTCCACCAAAACAAGTAACCTCTGAAACAAGGGTTTCTTGATGCTCACACTCGGCAATACCAGGCGAGGTCTGTAGAGAGAAATAGGTGCTTCTGTTTGAAACAAGAAGTTCGGGCTTAGGGTTTCCAAAACATGCAACGTGCCACGCCGAACGAGGACTCTGCTTCTACCGAGCAGCCAGACATCTTAGAGCGCCCTCATCATCCTCATCTCGGCTTCCTTCCATGACGTAAGGGCACCACAGCAAGCCCTAAACCCTAAAACTCCTGGCTGATCCCAGCACTTTAGTCTGTGGGCGTTGAATTGCAAGGAACTTCAAAGATGGGCTCTGCCCTCAATCGAAGCGTCACATAACATACGTCCTATAGCTATGAGGGATGCTCGATATTTCGGGGTGGTGTTCCGTATGGTGCACCCTAAACCCTAAACCCTAAAACTGAAACACAAAAATGCTGCTCACGATTCAAGGCTTGGCTTTGGGGGCCCGTACCTTGACATGTTCAGCCCCGTGCAAAGAGTTCGGTCGCCATGAAGCATAGGGTTCTACAAGGGGGTTCCCTTTAATGGCACTATACCTTAACCCACCGGAACCTACTTTTTTGTCGGGCCCCTGTAAATCCCATATTAGGGTTCATAGTTAGAACCTACAAAAAGTATGGTTTGGTAGGGGTTCCATAATAAGGAAGAGTTGTAGAGGCTTGCGAAAGGCTGCCTTGGGCAGGAGCAGCGTGCAGCCGGAGGACTGAGGTTACTAAAAGCCCCAGCTTAACTGCGTAGATCCCGAAAAAGAACTCCCCTGAAATCCCAAGCGATCTGAAGTACGGGAGTCTTACGGAACCTGAGGGAGCACGAGGGAGCCCCTTTATACCCCCCTCTCTTCCCATAACTGAAGCTGTTAAGGAGGCGGCCGCAGCCCGAGCCGAAACCCCGCACAGTAGCGAACAACTTGAAGCGCAAAATCGTTAAACCCCAAACCCCTTTCATGGGGATAGACTTCGAGTTATTTCTTCATGAAGACACGACCGCATGCGGAAAGAAGCATGTGTTCAGGCTTCAGGCTTGTGGGCCATCTATCGCCCACTAGGCAGCCTGGTGCTCATGAATCCCGGCGTTGCCGCAAGAATTGGTAGGAGGTTTTGATACAGATGGGTTCAGGTCTCACCAAAGCCCGACACAAGCGCTGCTGCCTGGTTCGGCGAGGAAGGCCACGACCGTGCTGACGGGAAGGCGAAACCTTGTCTCTGCAGCAGGATGGAGAGTAGAAGCAAGTCCTATGCGTGTCCCAGTCATGCGTGAGCCAACTAGCCGGAGACCTGCAAGCTAAGGTCTGCAACATGGTAGTGCCACAAAAGGCAGGGCTCCCTTCGTTTCTGATAGAATTTACGCATTCCATCTCAGATCGCTTATGGTGGTCGAAGTCAACTCCAGCATGGAAAAAATCGCCCTTTGAGCCAGCCGCCAACTCGAGCCTGTCACGACGTATGAAGCCAGCAAGCCAACTTGAACACTGACAAATCCGCAGAGCTCGGCTCGTTAACTAGGAAGTAAACAAGAACAAAAAGGGCGGTGGCACATGAGGGCTCCTTTGTCTCTGTACATACAAACACGCATGCATGCATACATACATACATACTGGGGTCTAAGGTTAGGGCCATATGCAAACACCTGCCGAAACTCGGGAGCTCGGAACTTGAAGCTCTGAAGACATCGAGGCGCCACGCGGCGATCGTGTCGGTAGCCACGCCATCTTTGCCTGGTGGGTGGTTGCGCATTCTTCGGCTTGAGGGCGTAATAGGGGTAGGGGGTTGAAGGATACGGCCCTAAACCCTAAACCCTCTCTCTCCCACCTACACCCTAAACCGGATGTCGAGTCGAAGGCTTCCGTAGGGCTCACGGGGTCTGGGGTTGAAGCCTCGCGAAACCTCAGAAGTTCATCTAGGCCCCCATCTAGGCTCTTCAGTAACCCACTGGGAAAAGATATATACTTTTCTAGGCTTCTTATTTCTATAACATGTTATAAAATAAGAAGCCTAGAAAAGTATATATCTTTTCCCAGTGCAGGAGCAAGCAATTCAAGCAGGCGGCTCATTCTGCGGATGGCCTGCTCCCCCAGGTCATCACCTCTCGGCTTGGGATCCAGGTCCGTTACGGCAAGTTTCTTCGGGTTTCGGGCTGAGGGTTCCGAGTAACTCCTGGCGGCTTCAGGTGCTGCTGCCCAGACTTCATGGCAGCCTTCCACCGTTGTGGTGGCTGATTATCCTACACCTCAAGGCTGATGTTGATGGGGGGGCGGCCCCAGTCCTTTCGGGACTAAGCACAAAACATCGTGCTGAAAATCAAAGGGGCTCTGGCTTGGAGCTTGGAGCGTTAAAAGGCTTTGGAAGAGCCACACTTAGAGGCCCAGGGGACTTAGTAAGTTTGTTATAAGTAGGGTTATAATTGGGGTAACTCCATTTAGGGTACTTATAACCCTACATATATCCTACTTACTGAGACCCCTGGGCCTCTAAGCAGGCCTGGCGAGCCTGCAACCCGCAAACAGCCCCCACCAAAAACCACTGGAGTTGTAGTTGTGCCTGGACGCTTGCGCTTCCGGGTGCTTGACGCCACAGGCGAATGGGCCTCTGGAGTGGATACTGATGGTGATTTGGGCCCTAAACTCAAGTCGCACCCTAAACCTCAAATACTAAAAATTTTGTAAAGCCTGAGCCATCTTTACGCTCAAGCTTTGGGGTTTGGCGCTGGAAGCAACGGTTTGCTTTTTAGTTATTAATGGTTCGGGTTTATGGTTTGGGCCCTCGACCCTACACCCTGATCAGGGTGGGGGAAGGGGAAAGGTCGCCTAGAAGACTTGGTGCCTCAGGTACCTCTGCGGAAACATCTTCGTAACAGACCCGCAGGCCTTCCCTAGTATAGGGGCCCACGAGACTTAGCAAGTAGGTTATAGATAGGGCTATAAGCATCTTAACTGGAGTTACTTCCAATTATAACCCTACTTATAACCTACTTGCTAAGCCCCCTGGGCCTCCAAGTAGTATGGAGGCCTTACTAATTACAACAGGGTTCCTTGCAGGCTCAATAAGAGAACTATAATGGGGGGGTTTAATGAGCAAAAACAGGGATTTGGGGTGCACCGTAGTACCAGTTTCAAAGGACGGCGAGGTGATACCATGGTGAAGCATTTCGAGCTGATCGTTTCACTGATGACTTGGAGATTGCTTCAATGTAATGGGCACGTCTTACGGATGCCGTCGGGAACACAGCCGGGCTCCAAACCCCCGAACATCTCCAAGACCAGCTGCACCTGAGATTTCCTTCTGGGCATCTTCGTCCAAAAAACTTGACTACATCAAACCCTTGGAGCTGAAGTTCTACCTGTGGACGGAAGAGAAATAAACACCTGTCATGCAATGATTGCGTGCATTCCATACAAAGATCTAAACATACATGCTTGAATACGTATAAGCATGCAAACATACATACAAGCATACACACATGAGTGCATTACATACAGGCACACAGACAGACATACTTACATACCTACATAACTTACATACCTACATACACACATGCATCCTTGCATGTTTCCATGCATACATACATCTATACATACAGACATACATACATATATATATATATATATATATATATAAATATGTATATATATATATATACCTATGTATGTATGCACACACACGAATAGAAAATGCCTACATATACATATACATATATACATATACTTGTATGAAAAGAGAAATGCATACATGTATACATAAACATGTATATGTATGTGTATATACACACGGACAAACATAGATATGTGTGTATATATATATATATATACATATAATACACATCTGTTTGTGTATGAAAACATGTATGTAGATGTGTATGTAGGTATGATTAGGTATGTATGTATACATATGTGCCGAATGCATACATAAATCACAGAAGGCCTGCCACCTCTTTCCTCTGCAAGTACGGCATCAGGACTGGCCTTGCCTCGACTGCTTCTGCATCGACCCGCTCTGCCTCGACTGCCTCCGCGAGTGTCTGCGACTTTATGAAGGGCTGCTGCGACATGTCCTGACATGCGCGATACGATCATGTAGGGCTGAGCATCGAGCTCCAGACCCTGACAATGCGAATCGCGTTTGGTCCTCCGTCTTCACCTTCTCCTCTTTGATCTCAATGAACTCACGCTTGACTTCCTGCTGCTGTGGCCCTTTGCATATTCAAGCTTTACCTATACTGTAAGGGCTTGTGCAAGGGCTTGAAGCTACGGTTGATGATATAAATCCTGCATTACCCATAATGAGGAATATACCATAATTCCCATAGTTTACGGTCCTTAAGGTCATGCAGGATTTATATCATCAACCGTATCACAGGTTGGGGCTCCTCTATAAGTGCTCCTCGAGGATTTTACCAGAGCTCTTCCCAGACAGAATTCGAGCAGGTTGCAGACAAAAAAGCAGTGGGGATAGTGATGGTGTATTCAACAGCCTCTCCATGGTGAAAGCCGGGTCTCAATCACCCCGAAGTCTTCAAAGAGTATACCCCCCAGCCATACACCCTAAACCACTAAATCCTGAACCCTACACCACTAAGCAAGCAACCCAAGACCATCCTAAACCCGAAACCTGAACTCTAACAACGCCACGAACCTCCAAGCCCTGCCCTAAACCACTGTACCCTGAACTCTAAACGCCAGAAGAACCCCGTTCAGTGACTCTAAACTTTAAACCCTAATTAATCCCTAAGTTGTAAACCCTCATCCTTACATCCTATACCACAAGGGACCCAGAACCCGAAACTCAGAGCCTCATGGTGACCAGGCATTGCGATGACGGCTGCTGGCTGTCCGCTCTCGGGTTTGGGCACTCACACTCGGACAATCCAGGCTAGGCACAAGGGTTTATGGTTTAGGGGTTTAGGGTTTAACGGTTCAGCTGTGAACTTCTTACAAATGATACGAAAGTACATCTCTACAATATAGTATGGTGTTACGTATTAGGTTGCATAAAGTTCTTGCATGTAGCAGCCCTTTCTACTCCAGTTCCTGCCGGACGTTCCATCTGAAGAGGGCTGGCCAAGACCAGAAAGTCTCTAAGATATCTACGAATGTCTTCATAGTTTGCGGTGGTACTAGTTCGAAGTAATGCTTTCTTCCCCCGAAGTGATACAAAGGTTCATGCATGAAGTGCACACACGATGGGCCTGAGCATCAAGCACTGCGAGTGAGCAAAGATGCTCTGAGCAATAATATAATGTAGGGGCCTTAATTTTTTGTGGTTCCTTATTATACCTACCTTAATTAAGCCCACGTAACCTACCTTTTTAAGGACTTATATAAAGAAATCATATTAGGAAATCCTAAAAAGGTAGGTTCCTTGGGGTCCAGGTAGAGTATAACATACCCCCAAAGGCTCGTCTAAGAACTAAGGCCCCTACAATAACGGACCAAGGCTGACCCGAGATCGCCCCTGTAAGCATGAAGTCCTTACACTTTCCCTGGCTGAGACAACACTTTATAGGATCCTTAAGGGAGGGTGGTTCAAGGGGGGAGGGTATAAGGAATCCTTAGGGGACTGTAAGGGAACCCTTAACGATACTACAAACACTTGACCCCGAATGAGGGACCCCCAAATACCGATTAAACGGGCTCTTGGACTCTGCGATGCTGCAGCGCTTGGGGGTACTCAGAGCGATGGCAACCGTCTAAGTGCTTCGTCAAGAAGTTTGCGGACGATTGAAGGCAACAAAGAAACCACGGCAATGCACTACTCCCTTGGCACGAAGAACCTGGTCAACATAGGTTCGCGCTTTTCTCTCTTCTGCTGTCTTCTAGCGGCCTAGCGTTTATCATGGCATTGCACTTTGGCACAAGGCTTAAAACCAGCGCAGCTGCAATCTCGAAGATGCGACTACTCACCATTGGCCTTATGAACACTTCGGGTTGCATCCTGAATCTCCTAAAACGAACAGGCCGCTTAATCGATAATGGCAACAGGAGCACAGGTACATTCAAATCTCACACCAACTTACTTCAAACAGATCGCCGGTGTGTGTGTGTGTGTGTGCAGAAGCCATGTCAAACACACATCTTCCGAGACAGCACATCTTCAAATCGCTCTGCCTAGTGGCCCCACATGGCGCTGGTGGCCAGAATCGAGCCCAGGCATTGAAAAGGACTGTCGTATAGTTGCCGTCTTCCCCCTTCCCCCTTGTAGCATTGTAGCCTTCAATCTGAACTCCGAGCACTGGGAGCTTCAAGCCACGAAAGAGATGGAGGCTCAGCTCTCAAACTCAAACAAGCCAGAAGGGGTTCGAGAGATCCACTGCCATCTTCACGTTGTCGAGGTGGCTGGAGATGTAGAAGTCGCAGGCTGTGATCGCATCGAAGACCTTGCAGCATCTCAGGCTGATAACCGAAATAAATCAAAATAGCGATTATAGCCATCATAGGTTATTATAATACCTGCAATGCCAATAACAATCTTCGATGGCCCAGCTGCTGTGAGCCAATGGAACTTGAGAGTTCCACGTTACAGGGGTCAGGTCTTGCTTGTCTTTCGCTTCTGTTTTGCAGGGAGCTTCAACTTGAGGGTTCAGGATGCGGGCCTTTGGGGTGGGCTTCAAGTTGAGGGTTTCAGGGAATAGTGCAGTAGTACCCGCCGTTCAATAGTGTAATGCCCGCCGTCCTTAAGCTCGTATTGCCGAAAATATCAAGGGCCTACAGGCCAAGTGGCGGGAAGGCCAGTTGCATGCCGCACGGCATCGGAATACGGTGGAAGCTCAGTGCATTCCATCAGGAAAGCTCTGACCTTGGACACACCGTCGGATGCAAACATGTGCGGGGCTGAATCAATTGTCCCTTTTGCACGCGTGCCTTCCATTTGACTATTAATGCTTAGATGTGTGCCCACACACATACATGTAATTACTATCTGTGTGCATGTGTATGTATGCATGCTGAATATGTGTATACACACATGTATATATATATAGCCATATGTATATACACACATACAGAAAAAATCACAGGTATGTGTTACATATATATATATGTTTGAACTCTAGTACGACCCTACGGAATTAAATGGTCAACTATTAAGGCCCCCATATGTTACAGCATCCCGCAAGATTCTCGTAGCAAGCAAGGGTAGGTACTGCTGTTCAACATCAGCCCAGCAACCTCAGCACATTAAAACTCAATCGCCGCTCTTCGGACACACTACATATGGGAGTTTGAGAAGCACGAAAAGGAAGGACCCTCATTGTCATGAACCCCTATAGTACGTGTAGTTTCAACAAACACCCGTCTCTACGGCGGTGTCCTTCGGATGTTCTCGGAGAACGTCCTGGGCTTTCTTCACCATCCCCGGCGTCACTTTGCGCACGTCCACCTGGCTTCTGACCAGCCCGAGGGGTTGGGGCCTAGAGCTTACAACGCTTAGTGCTCAGGGCTTACTTGGAGGGTCGGGGGACCTAGTAAGTAGTTATTTTAGGGACTTATATGTACCATAACCCCAATTAGGGTCCCTTTTAGGGTACTTATAAGTCTACTTACTACCTACTTACTAAGTCCCCTAAAGACCCTCCAAGTAGGCTTACGCCTCAAAGGGCTCAAGAGTTGGTGCTTTGGGGCTTCGGGCTCTCGGGTCGGGAGTTCTTTCCCGAACCCTCCTACGACGTCCTCGTTTTTTTGGGCACCCGCCTACACTCCTATCCCGATAAGATACCTGGGAATACCTTTTTCAAACCTGTAAGAAAGAAAGTGTGTTCCAAATGAAAGGATCTGGGAGCAAACATTCACCGGACCCTGTAAACAACACTCCTGAAACCGCTCATGTCACAAACCCTTCTGACTTATGTAAGCTGTAAACAAACTCCTGAAAAACCCAGAAGACGCAGCCCACGAAGGTCGGCCACCGCGGCGCCTTTTCACCCAAGGCCACTGCCTCAAACCCCGGGATGTCTTCGCAGCCCACGAAGACGTACCGCTCATCCTCTTTGGCTCATGGGTGCCCTTGAATTTAAGGGACCCTTTGGGGGGATTCTTTAAAGGGGTTGCATAAGGTTCCTCTATACTTTAAGTTTGGCTTCAGACGTTTAGTTTGAGTGTTTTGGGGCTTTGGTGCCTTTTTAGGGCTTCATGCAAGACCTTGGAAAGGTTCTCGCTCATCCTCCGGGGCATGCAGGGATTTAGGGGCGTCGACTCTGTTTAGGGACTCTCCCCTGACAAAACTACGACTGGACCAAAATCCGGACGACCCGCAGTCCATAGAAACCTAGCAAGAACTAAAGCCAAACACATGGATACTTCCAGGGGCAGGCGGGTTTTCAAGGGGTCCAGGGTCCCGTTGGTGCCTGTAGACGAAACCATCAACCGTTGTTGGGCTCCTTATTATGGTTCGGCTTCTTTATACAACTCCTTTAACAGGTAGGGTTTCGGGCGACAGGTAGGGCTTCATCTGGAGACCTCTTGAAACTTGGAAGCATCTGAATTGCCCAGTGGAAGCCCTGAAGTCCACACCCCCAAAACCACGAAATCGTCAAGCTCGGCTCCCCAAACTCTAACTTGCCGCATGTCCCCCTTTTGCAACAGGCTCCGCGTCCGCTCCCACAACCGCATTTCCCCTATACCTTAAACCCCGAACCCTAAACCCCAAATCCCCTAAACCCAAACCCTACCCCTCGGAGTGCCTTGAGATCCACTGCACACTCCGTCTTGATAAGCTCTTCCATGGGCAGTAGGGACTTGCCATTCGCAGTGAAGATCCTGGCGTTCAGGGTGCTTACGACTTACACTGACTGGGGTTGTTCCGGCCTCTCTTCTGGGTTTACAGCGGTTTATAGGGGATTCTTCTGGTTTAGGATTTGAGGATTTTGTGGAGTTCTTCCATGGCTCGCACAGGGCTCTTATTGAAGGATCTGGAAATTTGACTGAAACCCTTTTCCGCTTGTGTCGCAGGCCTCTTGGGTACTGGTATGTGAGGAGGATGTAACAACGGGATACGGGTCCGCATAGTTCGTACTAGTATTCTCCATGACTAACCGACCGCAAGGCCCTACAGAAATTCCTCGACTCTATTGCATCAAGCCCCCAGTTCCAGTGGGTGTGTAATGGTCAACTGCCGGCTGGGTTGAAAGTGAGTTTTACTTCGGCTTTTGAGGCTTGGGTTCACTTTTCGGATGTACTGCGGAGGTGAACTCTGATAGACCTTATGTTTTGAAACCACACTTTTTGAAACCCTGAGCCCTACAGGAAACTCGGCGCTATGGTACTGAGCTTAAGGTTCAGCAAACCCGAAACCGCTACGGGTGCAGAATGCGCAAAGCAATGCCAAGAATCGCAATCTGCTCGCCCTTGTGGAACGAGCTCCTTTGCTTCAAAGATCGTATTGCGGACGTGGTGCTTGAGGCTGAATTTCGGGGAGACAAAACAGCCAACAAGGTAACATAGCGGCCCTAGCAATTAGAATAGGGTTTTGGGGACCATTATACTCTAATTATAATAAGGAACCCAAGGGTGTAGGTAATTATTGAGGCCCCTACATTATTGAGGTCTTGCGCGACACAAGAGCATAGGGAAGACTGGCCAAGCATATTGCAGAGTCTTGGCTGTGGTCTGCACTACAGCCTGAAAGCAAATCCCAAACCCTCCGCTCTAATGCCTCACACCAACATCTGAGGTCTAATCTCTAAACCCAAGCTTCTAGCCAGAAACCCTGGGCCCTAGAGCATTTTTCAACCAGAAGCCATGGACCCTAAACCCACTGCACTCTTTCACCATAAACTCTGAACCCTAAACAGTGCCCAACCCCTAGGCTATATTTACGCACCTATATCCGGAGTTTAGAAAGGCTTTGGGCCAGGCCACCCAGCCAGAGTGAGAAGCAACCTCTTGGACAAACATCGATCTGACACCGGACCGAAAAGAAGAGTAGTTTGCTCTAGGTCGAGCTGAACGAAACTAGAACTCCCAGCCTAAGCCCTAGGCCCAAAAATCCTCAAAACCGCATGGACTCCCCAGGCATCCTAGCGCTATCTGGGTAGTTCCACACAATTAGGGTCCCTTGGTGTCGTACTGTTTTGGGACCTAAAAGGGGACCCTGATATGGAGAAGTACCCACATGTACCCACCTGAAGACAACCCAAGGCGCGTGATGGCGGGCAAGGTGGCCAAGGAGGACATGATGACCGGCAAGCGGGTGCTTGTCCGGACGAGCTCCTGGTACCACATCCTTAGGTTTCGGCGAGGCTCCATGCCTAGAGCCTACGTGTATTAAGCCAAAAGGCCCCAAACTCCGAACCCCTATATAAAGTCACCATACGGTTGATGATATAAATCCTGCATTACCCATAATAGGGAATATACCATAATTCCCATAGTTTAGGGTCCTTAAGGTAATGCAGGATTTATATCATCAACAGTAGTATCCGCCAAGCATCGCTTTAAAGGAACCCTAGACTCCAAACCCTGTACCCTAAACCCTAAAACCCCGAGCCGAGGCGCATGAAACCGCAGTCCCCGGTGATGACCTTACCGTTGGTTTGTAGGGAATGGAGGAATGGGGTACAATTACAATTATTGTTACTACCATAGAACTACCATATTACTATCATATTACTACCATATCACTACCATATTACTACTATATAGCCACTATTACTACCATATTACTATCATACTACTACTAACCAAAGGTAAGTGACGGAGACGCCCTTGGACTCCAGAGCTCCGATGGCCTTCAGGAGCTCCACCTGGCGTCTTCAGCGAAGGAGGGCTCTTTTAAAGGATCCCTTAAAGGATACCTTAAGGGATCCCTTAAAGGATCCCTTCAAGGAACCCTTAAAGGGGTACTTTAAGAGTACTATGAGATTCTCGAACCGGGTTTTTGTACGGGTTCTTGCTTAAGGGCCATATGTAATCATCCGAAACAGGGGGTTTTTGAGGTCTCTTCGGGGGGCGGGGCTCCTTCATGGCGTTGCTTTCGGGGTTCCCTTTCAGGATGGCCCTGAAACTGCCTTTAAGCGTTCCTTTAAGGGTTACTATAAGGGCTACTATAAGGGTTATACTATAGGGGTTTAGGGTTCTTAGTAGACTCCCTGGTGCTTACTAGGGAATGGGGGGATGGATTATGGGGATCTACTATTGGGGATTCTGTAGGGGCTGCTATAGGGATCCATTCCCCCATTCCCTACTAAGCACCAGACAGCCAAAGTTGCTAACAGAAGTTAAGGCAATGTCTGAACGGATTTTGACACTCACACTCTTAGGGCTTAGGATCTAAGGGATTCCTGGGGCTGCGGAGTTCCGACTCTAGAAGATGATGTACACAGGTCTCCCTGGTTAAGTGTACTACACATTCCGGGATCGCTGGAAGAGCCTTTTCGAGTCCAAGAGCTTGGTCTGTCGAGTGGGGAATTTCTGAAGCCTTTGAGGAATCCTTATACTCATGTAGGAAACTGAATAGGAAACCCTAGGCCTATAACCCCAAAATAGTAGGATTCATATAAGGAACCCCCATAATGGCCCAAGGATTCTTAGTCAGGTTTCTACCTTATGCTTATACAGAGCCGGAGACAAAATTCGTAATTTCTGTGATCTTTTAACTGCGTTCGGTGAATCCCCACGTCTGGAGATCCTCGGAATTTCTAAACACACACACACACACACCAGAACCCCTCAACTAAGGAAGTTCTTGAACGACAGGAGTTTAGGGCTTTTCTTTTTTAGATGCAGTAGCCCGGAGTAGGGTTTAGGGTGTAGAGTCATATGACTCTACACCCTAAAGCCTAAACTCCTGTCATTCAAGAGCTTCCTTAGTTGAGGGGTTCAGAGATGGAGTCTCTCGGGGAGCTTTTCGGGGTCCGACTCGCTAGGGGCAGGGGAGCCAAAGCTTCCAAAAAAGCGCGAATCCCAATCCCAAGCCGAGTTTTTTAGGGTTTGGGGTTTCGGGTTTAGGGTTTAAGGTTTAGGGTTTAAGTTTTTCCCTCCTACTTAGCAAGGACGAAGCCTGCATTTAGGGTTCAAAGTTTAGGGTTTAGGGCAACCCCACCAACAACCCTATGCTTAACTCCCAAAGGCACCAACTCTACACTGCACCCTGCACTGACAGGCTTAAACGCCTATAAGAACCACAACCCTAGGAAGCGCAATACAACCCTTCAAGAAGTCGATCAGACCCGGCGCTCAAAGCCCCAATATAGGGGCCTTAATAATTATAGAATTATAGGTTTTTGGTGCCATTGGATTATACTTATAACAAGGAGCCACACAAATAGTCTGGGTAATTATTTAGGCCGCCCCTCCCGCCAGGCCTCTACCTCTTTGGTCATTTTTCCCGACTGGCAGAGCTCGAAAGTAAGCCCCGGAACCATCTGGTAGTGCACTTCGTAGGCGTAGCTGCCTGGACTGGGAAAGAAAGGACTTCTTCGAAACCGCTTTGGGGTGTATTCTGCCACAGAATAATGATGCTGATGGGCTGCAAAGAGACTGCCAACTTCGGGTGCGAGGGCTTAGGGCTTAGATCTAGGCTTAGTTAGTTTAAGGTTTTCCGGGTTGTAGTTTTGGGGTTCTGAAAAGTATTATGAATGGGCACCTCCAAAGGAACCATAAGGGAAATTAAAGAGCTTCCCAAACAGCCACCTAGTTTGGGGTGTCCACAGGGGGAAAGCCCATGTGCAAAAGTCCTGCCCGGGCACCTGGATGATCCACATCACCCGGAGCTGGCTCGTAGTGGTAGTCCTGACCGAGTTCGTTAGGCCTTATACTCGCTTATTCAGAACATATGTTAAATCTAAGCCATTTTAATGACCTCTTTCAATCTGTACTTCACAGTGGATTCCTGACTTGAAGGATTGGGATATATCTTAAATCATCTGAAGGAACCCTCTAGACTTAAGGTAGATTTCTGCCTTGTGGCATTAAGTTCTCTCTGCAAGGCGCGCGAATCAGAACCCGAAAACCAGTGAAGGCCCGAAGCTGAAACGGTATATACAGCCTAATGTAGGAACCTGACTAAGAAACCCTGGGCCTATAACCCCAAATAGTGGGGTTCGTATAAGGAACCCTAATAAAGGCCCAAGGTTTCTTGATCAGGTTCCTACATTACTTGTCCAGTATCCTGGGGAGCTAAAGGTTAACTTTTGGGAGCATATTGGGAATATACCTATATATATATATACATATACATATATACATATACATATGTGTGTGTGTGTGTTGTGTGTGTTGTGTGTGTGTGTCGTGTGTGTGTGTTGTGTGTGTGTTGTGTGTGTTGTGCGTGTTGCGTGTGTGTGTGTGTGTGTGTGTTGTGTGTGTGTGTGTGGATTAGAGTACCCCCCAACAAACGTTAAAGCCCGACGTGAGATAAGCTGCGTCCCCAGCCCAAAAAAAGTAAAGGCTACCTAGAAACTCTACTAGTAGGTCGGGCTTCTGACCGGGTTTCAGGGCTTGGGGTTTAATTGCGCACTTCCCATCTACACCAGTTTAGGCCTTGAAGCCCCAAAACACGGTCCAGTCGCACCACGCCGAGCTTGATTCCTTGACGGCGGCTGCGCACCATCATCGACACTGCCTCGTATCGTGCCGGACCAAAACTTCGCAAACGATGGTGGACTCGGGGGACAGGAGCTCGACGTCAAGAACTTCACAAAAGCCTGACCCCTAAACCCTCAACCCTACACCTAACATCCTGAATCCCTACAGCCCTGAAAAGCCCAGGCTCCATGGTAGAGGATCACATAGTCAAGGAGGGGATTGTTCAAAGTTAGAGGTTTGGAGTAATTTCAGGCCATGGTTGCAACTCGACAAGCTCCCTCCCTAATCTGGGCCAACCCCAGAAGTGTCAGAAACCCTCAACTTTGCAATCCTAAATTTCAAGTCAGCGGCCGGAAATCCTTGAGCGATAATTGACCTAAACCCTCCTCAACTTAATCCCTAAGCCAGCGGAAATACCTTCTGGTCAGCCCAGCTGCGTGCTGCATTGACGCCGCATACACCTCCCCAGCACTTCGGTTGATGGTATAAACCCCTGCATTACCCATAATACGGAATATACCATAAGTCCCATAGTTTGGGGTACTCGAGGTTATGCAGGATTTATATCATTAGCCGTAGGAGTTGCTTCCGTACGTCCTCAAAGGCCTGCTTTCGAAATCCTGCAGCCTAGGCCCTAGGCCATACCCATAGTAGTTCCTTTTTGGGGATTACCTTATAGGATCCTAAATGTGAACCATGGGTATTAAAAGCAACATACATACATTGACATACATAGACAAGTCAATACATGCTACATCTCTGTATCTGCATTATATTGTAGTTCTGTATCTATACTTCTATTTTCATGCATCTTGTATTGTATGTATACGTATGTATGCATGCATGGATGGCAAGCTGGATGGATGTCGCTACTAAATTTAAGGAATCAGGATCACACACCCTCATACAATCAGTCGTAAATTCGCACGCCCACGTGTTGCCCTAGTTAGGCTTGCACGGAGCTCTTCACGAAGAATCACACCACTACGGACAAGCCAGGCCTTTTGAGTGCTCTCGTCTGGAAGCTGCTGGTGCTCAAAGCCTGTTACCCTAGACCTGTCCTCTTCAGGTACCCTAGAACCACGCCTGGAGGTGTCTTGTCGAAAACGTTGCTTTTCCATCCGAGCTTGTGGTTCAGCATAACTCCTTTGAAACATTGCCAAGGGCAACACGACAGCCATAGCAGAGGATGCAGACGTGGAAGCTGGTGGAAAAGCCTGGAGAGTGTCGCTATCCTTCGGATGCAGCAGACTTTGGTCGTCGCCTCTTCGAGGAGCTGAACTCCGCCTTGTGGCACCTTCTCTTCGTTGAGAACTTTGCCCCGGCATCCAGGAGCAAATCCAACACCTCTGCTTGTCCAAACTCAAAAGCTAGCAGCAGGGCCGTGCTGCCATCCTTATTTGCCACGTTCTTTGCTGCACCGCAATCCAGCAGCATGCGAACAACCTCAATGTGGCCTTTGCAAGAAGCCGTCATCAGGGCGGTGTCGCCCTGGTTGTCTGCAAAGTCCTTGTCGGCACCTGCATCCACCAGTGCACGAACAATCTCAACGTGACCTTTGCAAGAAGCTGCCATCAAGGCCGTAAAACCGTTGTCGCCTGCCAAGATCCTGTCTGCACCGGCACTCAGCAACAAACGAACAGCCTCAACGTGGCCTTCGTCAGAAGCTAGAATCAAAGCCACGATGCCATTTTTGTTTGCCCAGTTCATAGCACCGGCATTTAGTAGCGATCGGACAACCTCTGCATGGCCAAAGCAAGAAGCTGCCGTCAGGGCATTGCAGCCGTTGTTGTTTGCCAGGTTCCTGCTGGCATCGGCCTCGAGCAGAACATGTAGAACCTCAATGTGTCCTTCTTGAGAGGCTAGTCTCAGGGCAGTGTTGCCAGCGCTGTTTGCAAAGTTCTTGTCAGCACATGCATCCAACAACAAGCGAACAATCTCAACGTGGCCGTGTAAGGAAGCCAATATCAGGGCAGTGTCCCCATTGGTGTTTGCATAGTTCTTGTCAGCACACGCATCCAACAACAAACGAACAACCTCAACACGGCCTTCTCCAGAAGCTAATTAATGTCAGGGCAGTGTCTCCATTGGTGTTTGTCAAGTTCTTGTCGGCTCCGGCATGGAGCAGCACGTGAACCACTTCAACGTGAACTTCTCGAGCATAAGCCATCATTAGTGCGGTATGCCCGCAAGTGCTGGCGAGGTTCTTGTCGGCACCTGCGTCTAGCAACAAACAAACAACCTCACCGTGGCCTCGGAAGGAAGCTGAAATCAGGGCCGTAAAACCGTTGTTGCTGGCCAAGTTCTTGTCTGCACCGGCACTCAGCAGCAAACGAACAACCTCAACGTGGCCTTCGTCAGAAGCTAACGTCAGGGCAGCGTCCCCATTGGTGTTTGTCAAGTTCTTGTCGGCGTCTGCATCAAGCAACAAACGAACAACCTCCACGTGGCCTTGGCTGGAAGCTGCCATCAGTGCCGTGAGGTCATTGTTGTTCGCCATGTTTTTTTCGGTGCCAGCATCCAGCAGCGCGCGCACAATCTCAACATGACCTAAGTAAGAAGCTTGCATCAGGGCAGTGTCGCCGTTGCTGTTTGTCAGGTCCGCGTTGGCCCCGGCCTCCAGCAGCACATGCAGAACTTCAAGGTGGCCTTGGATAGAAGCTAGCATCAGGGGCGTGATGCCATCGTTACCATTGTTGCTTCCCAGGTTCGCGTTTGCATGGGCCTCCCAGCACTAAACGCAGAACTTCCACATGGCCGGGTGCTGAAGCTCCCATCAGCGGACGAACGCCCTGCGCACTGGCCATGTCCGGGTTTAGGGGCAGCTGCAGCATAGCTTCAACATTACTATTACTACTATTACTACTATTACTACTATTACTACTATTACTACTATTACTACTATTACTACTATTACTACTATTACTACTATTACTACTATTACTACTATTACTACTATTACTAATACTACTATTATTACTACTATTACTAGTATTACTACCTGCGAGCTTCGAATCTTGACTTCAGGCTCCCTGGAAAAGTCAAGCCACTAGCTACACTCCAGGGTTCTAGGTCGAGAGGGATCAATAAAAACAGCAAACCGCAAACCTCGAACCGTGGACCGTGAACCCTTTTTGCCTCAACATGCCTTGCCGTCATCCCCTAACCCTATTGCAGTGTGAGGAATCTGTGATGCAGAGCCGTTCGCAGCGGCCGTCATCAGCTCGGCTGCTTCCGCCTGGGATGCGTCAGAATATGTAAGCAGGACCAGCTCCAGGTCTGTAGGTGAGTCCAGCTCGGCAGAATCATCCATGGGATCGCCGCGCAAAAACAGCCTTTGAATCTGTCGGAAAGCCGTGCACCCGATGTAGTTGCAGCTTCAACTCCCGCACGTCGGCCAACTCCTCCACTGGTATGCTCGCGACCTCCTCCCCTGACAGTGCCCTGATGCGCAACATTGCGGCGACGAGACGACACAAGGTAGTCAGTTTGCAGGCCCTAGCTGATTTCGAGTGCCGAAACTGCCTACGAATTGAAACAGGTTTTAGGGATATTATAGTTAAAGTACTAGGAAGCTCGGGTCGAATTTTAGTTTGGGGGGTAGAGCTTTGGGATTGAGCGGCTCGAAGCACATGAACTCAGGAGTCTAGATTTTAGGGGTTTGGGGTATAGGATTTAAGGTTGCACCCCCATATTTTATACCCCAAAGTCCTAGCAACCCACAGCCTAACAGTCTCCTAATACCCTGAAGCATCTCTAGTTGTCGATTTGGTATAGCTTTCAATCTCCTTTGCTATGGGTCCTAGAGCCCCAAAGTATAACTAACTACGGGGAGTTGCTTTTAATCCCGAAAGCCCTGCCCGAAGCCCAAGCACCGAACCCTCCGAATCCCGCAACTCCAAGCCCTCGGGAGCCAGAAACGTCTTAGAAAAGGGCTTGGGCGTCTTGCAAGGTGTTGTGTAATTATTAAGAAGGACCCAACAAAATAGTAGCACCAGCTGGTTGTTCAGGCGTCTGTAGTACAGCTCCCTCAGGCCCCTAAACCCTCTCTCTCTCTCTCTCACTCAGGGGCCCAAACCCCAAATTCCTACCCTCTAAAGCACAAACCCTAACAGGCTCTCAGAGAACCCAAAGTCGGCGTTCCCGAAAATAGGGGACCCAGATAAAGCACCCCAAGTTTGTGATCCTTATTATCAGGACCCCGGAATAAGGTACCCCTATTTTTCGGAAACTCTAAACCCTAAACCCTTTATAGATCCCTTTAAGGAACCCTTTTGGATCCCTTTAACGAGCTCCTAGTAAGCTCTGGCCTGAAGCGCCACATCCCGTGCCAGGAGAACCGGCTTTGTGATGAGCCTGGGCCGAAAAATCAGCGAGAGGGGCTCCGGAAACCCTATGACTTTCCATGCTCTAACTATTCGGAGCCTTGCAGCAATCCTTTAGGGTTTGGGTTTGGGGTATAGGAAGGGGGACTGAGTTCGTAGGTTATGAGTAGCGCTGTATACCATGTTTTAGTAAGTTGAGTGTATTATAGCGTATTACAGTAGGTTATAAGTAGAGATATAAGTACCCTAAAATTAGCCCCGTACTCAATACCGACTTACAAAGTCCTCCGACCTTAAGAAAACTGGTAACCCGAACATAATAGGATCCATGAAAGGAGTCCCGACAAGGACCCAAGATTCGCTCAATCAGACTCTTAAGGCACTGTAAACCCGGAAACCTCAACATTGAACCTTATACCTTAGGTACTGCCCCCATACAGTAAGAGTCTATAATAGGGCTACTATTCAGGTCCTAATATATCTATATTATGAACACTATTCAACTATTACTGCGTGGGGTTCGTGCCCAGATTATACCCTAAACTCCTGGGAAGTCAAACCTAACCACAGACTACACCCTTTACCCCAAACTCCTATGAACCACCTGGCAAAAACCTGGAACCCTATACCCCGCACCATAAACTCCTGATCTTAATCTGAAGCCAACAGCTCTGAGACCTTCCACCAAGGACATCGCGTCTCAAACCCTAAAACCCTAGCTCCAATCCAGACCACCGGGAGGATCTAGAAAGTAGATCCCCTAATTTGGGGCCCTATACTACTAAGGGTACTTTATAGGAACCCCCCATTAAGGGATCTACGTTTTTGGATCCTCCCGGGGGTCTGGGAAAGCAGGAGCAAGGAGCTGCGTGGCCGCGGCCAGCGACTGGCCGAAATCGAACTCGGCCTCACCCAAAAGAAACCGCTGCGTTGGTGTAGGGCTTTGGGGTTTGGGGTTTGGGGTTTAGGGGTTTAGGGCTTGGGGTTTAGAGGTTTCATCACTCACTCTCGGACATACCACAGCGAGGATTCCAGTACGGAGTTTAGGGGTTTAGGGGCTTCGGGGTGCAAAGGTTTAGGTTTTAGGGTTTGGGGCTTTGGGGTAATCCTGTCCCGTTGCTGCCTTTGGCGGCTCACAAACCAAAGCCCTTCGTCGAGCATACCCTAAACCCGCTTTGGTGGTTTAAGGCTTCGGGTACCCTAAACCCGCAAATCCTGAACTCCCTTTAGCCCCACTGGCTGACCGGATCCACAACCCCAAACCCTGAACCCTAAGCCCTAAGCCCTCCAAGAACAGGATTCCACACTTGCTTTGAAGAGGACGTCTACATAGTCATAAACTGGGGGTTTCGGGGCATTTTATGGCATATCCATACTCGTGTACATCCTTGACTTTGCTAAATAAGGGCAGATAGCAGTCTACTGATACTAATAATTAACCCCTATACCCTACCTAAACCCTCAACCCTAAAGCCCTATACCCTAAACCCCTTTTTCAGCATGGGCTTGGATTGTGCGCCAGCGAACACTCCTCAACAGCAGGGCCTTCTCGTTTGACGAGGGATGCAGCCCCTAAACCCTAGACCCTCGACCCTAAAGCCCCACATCAGCGCGACCACGGAGCGCTCTTCTTGTTCAGCGCGTCGTCCCAGTCTTTGATTCCGAACCTCTTCCAAGGGCTTAAGGGAGTAGGGTTGGGCTTTCTTGGTTTAGGGTTTAGGGTTTAAGGGGGCAAAGGGGTTTAGAATCGACTTAGAGCTTCGGTTCAAAACCATCTTGTGGTTTAAGCTGCAAGTCTTGTGGCCCTAGACTCGGTTTGACTGGATAACCTGCAACATCCTGACGACTCCGTGACACTTAGTCACTCAACACTCAGCTTTCTGACACGAATGGCTCTGCAGCGACAGTCGTACACTCTGTGCTCAAGGCAACTGTGCCACACCTGAAACTTCGACCTTGGCCACTCAAACCGCTGAATCTGACAAAGAGGGCACGCCGGGTGGCCGCGGATTATCCAAAAGGCTGTCGATGTAGAAGTCGCAGAGCTTCATGGCATCGAAAACGGGCCTACGGCGTTGTCATTGGTGCTGCCGGCTCATACTGCATCATCATCATCATCATCATCATCATGATCGTCATCATCATCTTCATCTTCATCATCATGAACAAGATCATCATCATCATGAACATGATCATCATCATCATCATCATCAGCATCATCATCATCATCTCCACCTTAATCGTCTTTCTGTTTCCGCTGTCCACTGTCAGCAGCATCGCCTTCGCCCCAGGTGTGGCTGTTGTGCCAACATCCACCCGCTAAGTATGGATGCTTCGAACGTTGTGGGCACCAACGGGCGGGTGAGTAGTTCTCCGTCGCTGGTG